GCGAGAGCGAGTAAGTGTGATAGTGTTCGCTCTCAAGTGCTTTTTGTATGTGTGATGTTCTCTTTTGCTTATCAATGCGCTAGTTGATAGGTCATTTGGAGTGACAAGAGGGTGGTGGCGTGGAGGAGTGGGCCGTTGAAGCGCAGTGTGTGTGTGTGTGTGTGTGTTTGTCCATTTATGTGTTATGCGAATCAGAATGATGGTAGTGCTGCTGTTGTTGCTGTCGGCAGTGCCTTTCAAAACGTCAAAATGCCATTGAAATTGGATATTGACACGTTATGTTGTGTTTAGCAGTCCGTTTGGTAGCAATTCGATTACAAAGGCAGCGCAACCATCGCTGCGAACCACAATAACAATTATATTAATAATAGCACACACAAACAAAGCGCATTGTCAATGGAATTTGATTATAAAACAAATTCAAATACCCTTTCTGTTAATGAAATAACACACAAAAATATGGTCAACTGGACGAAACCTTGTAATGGATAAGGGCTATTTTTATTTGTAACTTGGTGGGGTCATAGAGGTAGACATATTTTTTAAATACTATAGAAAGTTAAAAACGCCTTTAAGTAAGATCAATTGAATAAGTATTAAACAAAACAAATACACACTCTACCATAAACTAGTCAACCAGAAACTATGTGGGGAGCGTATTCAATATTCGAAATATTTTCATTTACTTTCCCCATATAATTTTTAATTGATTTGCATAATTGAAATTCAATTGCTTGTGCGCTGGCAATTATATTGAAACTGTTTGTTTCTATAAATAGTGGCGATTACAACAACAAATCAATTGTGTAATCCCCGAAGAGAAACAGAGAAAAGAAACACAGAGAGTGTAATCGAGAGGGGAAACCACAAGCAAACACAAATCTCTGCCTGATAACAAATACGATTTGAAACACAGAAACACAAACACACTAATACACGCACTTATCACAAAATTTCCTTTATCAAAAGTTTGCTTTTATTTTTTGTTTTGTTTTTGTTTTGTCTTTCAGGCGCCATGTTCTTTGATGCTTATGTAATGCCCCTAAAAATATCTGCATTACCAAAGTTTTTGGGTATTTTCTAGGGCTTCTTCCATGAGCCCAATAATTTGTGTGTGTTTCTAATTGAATTTTCAAATGACTCAGAGTTCGAAAAGCTTTGGCAAATCAATAATTTGTCAAATTATGGTTCCATTCTCTGCAAAGGGAAGAAATTCTAATTGGGGTTTTCCGCTGTTTTGCGGTTGCTGTTTCCTCCCTTCTCTGCTATTGCTCTCTCTCTTTCTCTCGTTTTGGTTTTACCTTCTTTGATTTACAGTTGATTTATTCATGAACCACACATGGATAAGAGTTCCTATATGAGTTCGGTGTATATATATGTGTGTGTGTGTGTGTGGAACCCACCTTGTGCATAATTTTATTTTTAGCTCCTGGCTTATTTTTAATTATTGATTTTCTCCCTCCCTCTCTCTATCTCTCTTTGGCAAACAAAATAGCATACAACAAAAATTTTATATTTTTTCTTTCATTTCACTTTCTTTGAAACGGGTTTCTTGTGTGATTTGCATTGACACTGTCACCCTGGGTACCGAAACATAATTTGGTTTCTCTCCGGCAACAAGTGTTAATTTGGGAATTGCCAAATGTTATGCAATGAAATATTATGAGAAAGAAAGCCAAAAGAGAAACAAGTTAGAATATAAAAGAGAAGCACCCTGTATGCTAGAGAAGGGGAAAACTTTAAATCCATGGGGGTGTTTTTCCTGTAAAATATTCATGTAATTCATTCCAAAACGGTTTAAGGCTGCATTATTCAAGAAAGTCTTAAGACAAATTGTGAATTATTTTTCAAAACAAAGAAAGTTTTTCCCTTTACGAAAATGATTTTTTATAAATATTTGCATCTTTAGGTTTTAATTTTAAATTCAATATCGAGTACCGAATTCCCTGTGTTGTGTCCAGAGAGTGGTGCTGATCAACCCTCTCTCTCTCTCTCTCTCTTTCTGTCTGACTCTTCATCCCAGGAAACCGGTCAATGCTGATCGTCTTACAACAGGACCCCAGCTGTGCTCAATTCCCCAGTCGATAGCCTTTTCTCACATGTTGATTCATAAAGAAATAAGGCAAAAACACACTGTATTTTTGCAATTTAAGAACCACAACGGAGAAGTGGGAACCCGTTTAGCCAGAAGAAGCAAAAGCAAAGCGAACGACCCCAAAAAAAAAGTAAAGAGACAGGCAGACACACTCAATAAAAAACTGTTAAAAGTGGGGAGCCATAAGATATACCACAAGAAGTAGAGCCAAAACGACGATCGACATACATAAGTAAATATACATATATGCATGTGTAGGAATATGTACATACATATGTATATACAGCCCACCATCGACACATACTCGTACAGTACTTATGAACCAGTTTTACCCGCAGGATATTAAGCCATAAAAACAGTCAAAGCAATAACAAGAAAATGCATGAAAAATGGAGACATAAAGAAGTAGGGAATACCCTACAGAGGCTAACAGGTCTAACTGACATGTGATTGATTTGATTTTTTATTTATTAACCGAAAGAGGTTATGCACTTTGAAAATTCCTCGAGGTTTATTATTTTAAATATTTGTATCCTGCTGTCTTATTGGTTTCCTAATAGTCACTATATGCCCTTCCATTTTTGTTGTAGGGTATTGTTTTCCAATTGAAATTTGCCTGCTTCTGTAAAGCAGGAGACGGAGAAGGAGGAGAACTTGTAATCGAAGTCGAACTCGAACTTGTTTCTGGCTCATTTCGTCGCCTGCTCTCTGTAATCTCTCCATCTCCCTCTGGCACACTCTATGGTACTATTTTGTTCTCCCTCTCTCTCTCTGTTGCACTCTCCTCAGAGTAATTTAGTCTTTAATTGTTATCGTCGGTTTTTACTCTGTGTTTTATTTTTTACAACAGTGCTTAACGGTACAATTATCGGTTGTATCGGTTCTGTGTGTGCGCGTGTATTTATCTCTCTCTTTTGCCCTCTCACGATCTCGTTCACTCCTTCTGTGATTGAGTGCTTTTGAGTGTTGGTGAATGTGTGTGTGTGTGTGGGCAGATAAGATTTTCTATCTCGACTCCCGTTTGCAGCTGGCAAAATAATAATAAGAAAGAGAGAGAGAAAGCGAGCGCGGTGCAGAGGAGTAAGGAGATTCTGGAGTAGAACGACTAACTAATAATTTCCTGTTAATGGTTTGGGCGGAGTCTTTTGCTACAGAGATTCAGATGGGATTCTCTACCAAATACAAATTGCTATATTCTACCATGTAATAATCATAAAGATCGATCCATCTTGCATGTAATTGGGAGGGATATTTGGTGTGGGTATGTGATCAAAGAAACTTTATTAAAACCGAAATAGCTTTCCCTATAAGGATGTAGATTTTAAAAATATGTAGAAGATGAAGGATATTTGAAGAGTGCTAGATTTTCTTAGAAAAGATAGACAAATATCAGTATGTATTTTAGATTATGGGAGCATGTTGATACACTTATCTTTTGTGTGTGTTTGCCTTTACATTGGGTATTATTTGCCTAATGAGATTAACTGCAGTTCCACTTCTTTCTCTATATTTGATTTAATGATTCATGCTCTGACGATCCCACTTCTAAAGATGGAATTTACAGCTTTAAAACTCATTTAGGTCATCCTCCACCTGACATTGAACTCAATTCTCGCATTATGAAAAAGATCTTGCATTGGGCCACACCCCAACAGCCAACAGCCAGCTCGAAATGCAATAAAGTAAAACCTTTTGTCTTAATCAAACGTACCGAGTATTTCCCTTGTCTGGCCCTGAGTCATGAGTCACTCCGTCGCACTCCAATCCGAATGGTTATGCCTGGGCGAACTCTCTCGCCTCGACATGTGGCCCGCTCTTTGGGCCCCAGACCCCCTAGACCATGCCATAGGCAAACAGAAAACCTACCTGGCCTAGACACAACTTCACTTAACTTCACTCGAGTGGCGACTCTCCTCCCCTCTCCTCTACACTTCACAGCCCTCCACTCCATACTCGACTTGAATCGATTCTTTGTGTTTGGCACTTAATAATGCAAAAAAGTTTCTGTGTCATTGTCCTGTCGTTTCTTATAAGCTGCGCAGGGGTAACGCCCACTTGCGGCATGACAATTTTATTTTAGACGGGCTAAGAGTAAGCGACTTAAGCGAACAGGTTTCTAGGTAAACTTTTTATATAGAGAAATTGTAGAGAACAAAGGATATACATATGTATGTGTGGGTATTGTATTCATGTAGCTATGGGAAGAAGTGCTTCAGACTCTATAACACATATATTACGATATCTTACTTATCCTTTATATAGGCAGTAAGACCTCGATGTTAGTAAGATCTGGAAAATCTAGGCATTTAAGCTTGATGTGTATAATTCCAAGGCAGAGAACCAGTTTTTGGCTTTACATATTTTTTAATTACATTACATTATTACATTATTTTGTATTTTTTGTATTTTGGATTTATTTTGATTTAATATCTAATATCAATAGATCGAACAAAAATCACCCGAATCGAATAGATTTATATTTGAAACAACAAAGAAGTTCCCATGTTTTCATCAATCAGAAACAAAGTTCTCTTTCCATTTATTTCCAATTGTTGGAGTGCGCTGTGTGTGTGGCTTCTATTTTATATACACGAAACAAAAGCAAACACAAAAATAAAAAAATAGTCCGAGTAGCAACAGATTTTATAGTCGGAATATCGACACAGAATTTATAACATTTGTATATTTTTTATTGGCATTTTGTGTTGTAAATTGTGTCGATCCAGTCCGCAGAATTCAAAATTAAATGTTACGTAAATATTTGTCGACCCACAAAGCAAAAGAGGAGAAGTACGTATAAGAAGGATATACATATGGAATACGCTTTAGATAGATTTTAATTAAATAACACAAATCCATCAAATACTAATCGATTTATATTCTTTATATCTGTGTGTCTTTGCAGTGGCGGCGGCCCACAGACGACAACTGCCGGTCCATCTGCTGGTAATGTGGCCAATGCCACGACAGCCCTAGCCGGTGGTAAGAGCTCAAGCAATAATATGTATTCCACCCGCCAATCTGTAAGCACCACAACCGGTGTACTTATGGTCGGACCAAATTTTCGTGTCGGTAAAAAAATTGGCTGTGGTAATTTTGGCGAATTGCGTTTAGGTAAGTACCCATAACCAAAACAAAAATATATCAAAGCTAAGAAGCTTCATTTCAATTTCCAAATGTTGTGTCACAGTGTGTTCAAAATTCATTGAGGGGTTACCAATGGAATACTAAAGTAATTCTCTAAAATGGGAAGATTTGAGACGAGCCATCATTTGCGATTATCGTCTATTGAGTATCCATTGAATATCGATCATCATTTCCCAGAGGTTTATTTGAAAGCTTTTAAAATCAATCAATCTAATACTCTCTTTAAAAGCTTCCATTCCCACATGCTCTTCCTTATTCTCTCTTTTTGGCGTCCTGCTGTGCTGTTGCTGTGCCGTGCCGGCCACAACAGCTGTAAATAAATTGCAAATTAAGTTTGTGATGACTCAAAGCCAAGCTTCTGTCTACCTGTCACCCACACCAACACACACAAACACACGCTCTCTCTTCCTTTACCGCCGTCTTCCTGCTGGCCGCTCTTTCTATTCTGCTGTCTGTTCTTTTCCTCTCATCCTGCTGCTCTCCGCTCTTTTCCTACACCCATGTACCCTTCCTGCTGTCCGCTGCTCCCTTCCTGCCGTCCTCTGCTTTCCCCATTTACCTTTTTGGAATGCAAGTAATGTCGCCGTTTGTGACGTTTTTGATGCTCTAGACGAGGGTATAATGATTTTGAGCGAACATTTACATATTCACTTGATGGATCTTCAAGGGTATCTAAAGCTTCGGTCACGGAAGGTAGCGCTTTCGCTTCTTGTAGCTTCTCTTTATTTTTGGGCAGCCATTCTCGTTGGCTACTTCCTTTCAGGCAGTGCCCTGCTCCGCCCGGAATTCCTTGCCGCAGTCTGCGGCTGTTGCTGCCAAACAGCATTAACCACAATGAGAACAGTACGTTTTTTTTCTCGCTACTTTTCTGTTGTTCCCCTTCCCGTTTTTTGCTTACGAGAGTGCCCACAATACAATAAGCAAACAAACAAACAAGCAAGCAAAAACTGCCATTCCATTCCATTCCGCCATCTGTTTTCTTGGCGTCGTCGTCGTTGTCGTCACTTTTGCTTTGTTTGCTAAATGCGCTTTTACAAAGTTGTTGCCTCAGTCCCCAGCCCCTATCCTCTCTGTGCCCCTCTCTTTTTTGGGGCCTGCCATTTCCTTTTGTGCATTTGTTGTCACATTGCCAACAGGTAGCCCCCCCCCCTCCCCAAACCAGCAAAGCAGTGCTGCAAAATTTGTGAGCATTTCTGCCCCCAGGCTTCAGTAATAAAAGGTAAAGAGTTCTTAGAGAGTCGCGTACTTTGTAGAGTAGATAGAGTGGCAGCTTTAAGCCAGCCCTACCCTCTATAAATATACCTTGGATTCTGCCTTGCCATAAAGCAGTCGAAAAACACCTTGGGGTAGACCCCCCATTCTATCAGTGATGCTTAAACCCCTTAAACGCTCTTTCTCTCTAACTCTTTCACTCACTCATTCCCTCTCTTAATTGTGGCCCCCTCTTAGCTTAAGCCGCGCTTTTTCTTTGTTCTGCCTCTCAGCCTCTCATTTTATTATTTGTTTTGTTTGGCCTCTTTCTCTCTTCATCTTTTTCTCTTATTTGCATTTTGCGCGGGCATCACACACACACACACACACACCTCATACCAATGTGTCGGGATTGTATGAATCATTCCGCTGGAGAAGAGTAGACAAGCGAGAATGGAGGCGGAGATTGGAGAATGAAGATAGAAAGAAAGATACGTAGAATACAAAAAGCTGTTTTTAATTGGATTCATTTATTTACATTGTTGCTAAACGATATGGCTTTATTTAGCTATTTCGCAACTAGGAAAATCCCATACAGTTTAAATGTCACTGAACCATCAAATGAACGATCGCAGCTAACTTTGATTTGCTGGCTTCGGGTTCTGCCTCCTTTAGGGATCAACACTGCCACTGAAGAGGAGACCCTTATAACGAATTTAATGTCGCATTAACCAACAAATCTCATCTAATATTATACCGCCTGTATACCTTACGTTGTGACGTTAGTCAACGTTCGATTAAATTATAGACTTCTCTGTGACGTCACAGAACACTTGTTATTTTCTTTTTCTTCTCTTGCCTTGTTTGTCTGATATCATTTTTATTAATTGTGCTCTATAAATATTTCCTTCTTTGTGTGTGTGTATATCTTTGCTTGTTTTCTTTTTCCCATTAAATCCGATTACCGCAAAAAATCAAGATAAAAGTTGCTATAATAATACGGGGGTTTTTTTTTTTCATTTTGGGGGAATTTTGTTGAATTGCAATAAAAGTGACAATATTGTTTATTCTTCCCCATTTCTCTTTTGATTTCCCAATTTTGAATAGAAGAAATAAAGGAAAAAAATGTAGGTGGGTTTGGTTTCTGCCTGCCTCTCTTTCTGTGGGTCATTTTTTTATGGTCGCTTTGCGTGGGCGTTTCTCGTTTAATTTGGGAATTTTTCTCGGTTTATTTCTGTTTTCTATAGCACGCCCTTAAAAAGTAAATTTAGGTTATTTTTGTTGTTTTTTAGAGCCGTGGTTTGGTGTGGACTTTTCATGGAAAACTTTTCTTCCCATAAGGCATCTATTGTCGAGGACGAGGTTCGCTGCTCCTGGGGTTCATTTATTATGATTAATGATTAATATTGTGTTAGGTCATGATATTTGAGAGTCACTGGTGTACGAAGTGTGGTTTTAGGGGGATTGTAGAGTTGTCTTGGAGAAATATTTACTGTGCTGGCAAGTTTTAGAGACTCTTTATGGCAGCCTACTCGTACTCTACAGTTTTATATACGCAGTGCATTTCCTTACTAATTTCGGTATTAATTTTCAATAGAGGTTGTTAATGTCCGTGAACATAAATTAAAAAAAATGTTTTTAAATGAACATAAATTAAAAAAAATGTTTTTAAATGACAGTCGCCTGCCGCCACACGTTATGGGCCACCCCCTTCATCACCCTTTACACTCTATAAAATATTTTGAATGCATGTTTTTCATTCATTCTAAGAAATTAACAAATGAAATTCTTTAGTCTTTCAAATGTGTGGTGGTTGGTGGGTGGGTTGGGTAGGAGGGCGGGCCAGAGGGCGTTGCTGTCGTCGTCGTCTATATGTAATCAAAGTCATGCGGCTTTCTGTGACATTGTGTGTGTGTGCTGGGCTTGGTGTGTATGTGTGTGATGACTCTATCAACGGTTTAATGTTCTGTCTGTTGATAAGCACAGTACCCCTGCCAAACACCCACCCACCCACACCTATGAACACCTTTACAGACACACACACATACGCTCGCTCAGGCACACGTTTCAGTCGCTCCCTTCCCACTCTTCTACTTTACGCTCAGACTCATTCAGAGGCTCTCTTCCATTACCTCTCCAGTCTCGCCCTCTCCACCCACTCTCTTATGACATAATTTCGCACATGAGCGAACATGATATACCCTTGCAGAGGGTACGATGACTATGAGCAGATGTTTGCAATGCTAAAAAGAAAGTGCTTTATTGTTTCCCAACAAAATTCATGAAGTTGCAAGTTTCTATACAACTCAACCAAATGATAGCTAAAATAGGTACCATAAACCCGCAAGGGTGTCAAAAGCTTCGGCAGCCGTTTTGCTATCATCTCCCTCTACTGTTCATCATTGACATCGTCCGTCTCTGTCAGTGTGTCTTCATCGTTTACCGTTGCTTGTGTTGTGTGTGTTTCGTCACATCAACTAAAACAAAAACAAAAATGCAATTCTCAAATTGTATATATTTCTTTTCGTCTTTCTCCCTCTTCCTCCGCCTGACATAGGTCGTCGAATGTGTTGCTTTGGTGGGCGTGGCACTGCCGAGAACAGTGGGGCAGGTAAAGAAAGTGTGCGCAAAGAATGCATGCAACAGAATGATGCGACTTCTGTCTTTAGCATGAGAATCGTGTGCGCGGGAGAGGGTCTCTTATTCCTTCTCTTAGTTTTTGCTTGAATTTTGTTAGGTTCTTTTTCGATTAACATTTTACAATTCCATTTAAAATTTGAACTAACATTTCATTCTCTTTTTATTTTCAGGAAAAAATCTTTACAACAATGAACATGTAGCAATAAAAATGGAGCCTATGAAGTCAAAGGCTCCGCAACTACACTTAGAGTATAGGTTTTATAAACTATTAGGATCACATGGTATGTTAACTATTTATTATATCTAACCTTAACGCCGTAACAAAAAAAGGAAACCCAAAACCCCGTCCCAAATGCTGTCGTCCTCCTTCGTAATACTAATAAAACAAAAATTAACAATTACTAACCCCCCAAAAGAAATCCCCCAAGAAAGAGCAAAGCCAAAGTGGTACAGTCCGTACCAAAATAAAAATATGCAAGATAACTCCAAGCTCTCTCGCTCTACTCCTTATCTCTCCTTCTATCTCTCTCTGTCTATCTCTTACTAACCCTAAACTCCAATATAAAACAAAGTTTTGCACCGTTACCACCACTACTTGATTAGTTATGTACATATATACTCGTATAACAATGTACTTATCATTTTCTGTATAACACTCTTTGGTAGTATCCAGCAAGTGTTATACGCCGTTGAGAAGAAAGAAAATTACGACGAAAAGAAAAAAACATGAATAGATTTTCTCAAGCATATTTTCGGAGGTCGGTCGCGGTGCGTGAAGTGAAATTTGAAAAAAAAAAAAAAGATGCATACATATAAAAATATATTGTATATATATTATTGTAGCCTTAGCTACTGTTATACCCACCAAATGTAAAAACAGCTCGAAAATCACTTTACCTCTAAATCTCTCTCTGTCTATATATATATGTATAACTCTATGCTATATATATATAAATTTCTAAGCTCTTGTTTTTTGCTCTTCTCCAACTTTTGATTAATTTTTTTTTTCTTACGCTACATCCGTTTTTTGTTTGTTGTTTCTATACACCTATATCTTGCTCTCTGTTACTCCATATACCATCAACAATCAACTATACTCTGCGAAAACAACCCTACTCCAAAAACCCCGAAACAAATATTCATTCGCAATGAATAATTGAACAAAAACCGTTAATAATATTGAAATTCAACACCGAAATTGATCATCATGCGCTGCTCTCTGTCTCTATCTCTCTCTCTCTATATATATATATATATCAATCTCCCTGTGTCTGCTGCAATCAACCTCAACCACAACCCAAAACCGAAACCGATCTGATACAAACCTGATCTGAATCCAACCTACAACTGTTGCATAATACATTGTGATGGCATGTTATATAAAAAAAACCCCTTCACATATCAACCCCCATCATCGGAATGGTAATCGGAATTGAAATCGGATTGGAACGTAATTTGGAAATGGATTCTGATTCTATCTATATGTCGTAACGAAACGAAATGAAATTAAACAAAATGAATGTCCAGCCGAAACCGCCCCAGATGGCATACCACGCATTTATCACTTGGGCACTTGCGGTGGCCGTTACAATGCCATGGTTTTAGAGTTATTGGGATTGTCATTAGAAGATCTCTTCAATATTTGCGCCCGTAAATTTTCACTTAAGACTGTATTGATGATAGCAAAACAACTTGTAAGTGTGGCATTCTTCAAACCAATGGAAAACTATCAACACAACAAAAGTTAAATATTTTTAGTATTCTTTGTATTTTTTTTAATGAGAAATAGATGGATTTTACTTGTATAAAAGTAAATATTTGCGAATAAGCTACTATTATTTTGCATATTAAATCTCATTAAAAATTCGAATGTCTAAGGAGCTGCGTAGAACATTTGAAAAAGATGTGAAAAATTTAAAAGTGCAGTATCCTGTGGTGAAATCCGTTCAAAACTCATAGAAAAAAAAAACATAATGAATATTATTTTTTCTGGAATTGTAAATAACATTTTGAACCAAAAGTGTCTCAACGGCTGAGGGTTAGCTTTGTCAATTGTTTTTATATATTTTTGTATGATTTACAAGAACTGTTTAAAATCTCGTAGAACACACGCAATGAACGTTAGTCGAGTTTTTAGTTTACTGTAGATACATAGAATGACAATAAGTACCGTAGATGTAATATAATTTAAAAATTGCATAAAATTGTTCCTTTTTTTCTTCTTTTGGTTGTAGCTACCAGTTGTAACGATCTACAAAAAAACATATTCTAACCTCAAAAACAAAAAGCATGTAAATTAAGCGTCGTATATTGAAAAAAGTAAATATTTAAGGCATACCAGCAACAGAACAATTTCTTTGTAAATAAAAGAAAACAACAGCAAAAATTTCCTTCCATTGTATATTCCAAAATTAAGCTATTAATCTGTGACCAAAGCATAATTAATATAATTGTTTTGTTGTTATACTTATCAATACCCTTTTAGTTACCGTTCTATCTCTCTCTTTCACTTTGTTTTCGTTTACCAAAACCTTTTCTTGTATGCGCTGTGCTCTCTCGCTCTCTGTCTTTCTGTACGATTATATTTATGAACAACAGTGTATATAATTTAACCAAAAACTACTAACACAGTTGCAAAATATTGTCTATCGAAATAGTAGACTGGAATATCGATAATCGAATTCAGAGAGACGGAACACGACCAAAACTTTTATAAACAAACACACCACGAAACCCACAGCAACACCCCAGGAAAGCCAACTACTATAATATTTAAGCGTATCCTTAAGCACACTCAAATAAAATTTTGGAAACAGTTTGGATAGGTTAGGAGCTTAGGTTATTTAGACGTTAGATGAGTTCTTGGGCTTCAGTTGGGTCGTCGAGCAGCAGCAGGCTTCCTTGTGTATATGCTTCGAGAATCTCTATTTTTGTTGTTCTTGTTGTGTTTAGCACAGTTACTTGATTGTATATTTATTCTTTCTCTATCGATCAAATGAAAGGTGGTAATATCGTAAGACGCGCTAAACTAACCTCCAAACCATGAGCCGTATCTCCATCGCTCTCTCTCTCTCTATCTCACTCTCTCGCTTTACACATCTCTCCCTGTCTCTCTCAATCACGTTCTCTCTTTCTGGTTGTGTCCGACCACCCGCCAAATCAAAGAAGTACAGCTCCCTTAAAAAAAAAAAAACTGTTATATTAAAAAAAAAAAGAATTCAAATGTGAAATTTTGTATCTCTCATCTTTCTTTCTTCTCTCTCCCATCTCTCTCTCTCTCTTTTTATCTCTCGCTCACGAATTTTTGCATAAATACAACAAAAACAACAACAACCGAACAACAAATCGAACAACCAAAACTTTTGTGCGCTGTCCAACACTCAAATCACTCGCTCGATTACTCAAAAAATATAAACAAAACCAACCAACCTATCAATCAATTGATCAATCAACGATTGTTGGCCAATAGCAGAGGGTGTACCAGAAGTATATTACTTCGGCCCATGCGGCAAATATAATGCTCTTGTTATGGAATTACTTGGTCCATCACTCGAAGATTTGTTCGATATTTGCGGCAGACGTTTCACTTTGAAGAGCGTACTACTGATAGCTATACAATTAGTAAGTACAACCACAAACAAAACAAAAGAAAACCACCAATCGTAACTGCAACAAAAGCAACAACAATCAGCAAAGTTTTCTTTAAGCACGCGCATAAATCAGCACATAACCACATTCACAACACTGGTAGTCAGGCCAAAAATTAACCAACACTACTGCTAAGTTCAAGACCAACACTATTTTTTGTTTGTTTGCGTGTGTGCGTGCGTGTTCTGGGTATGGGAGTGTATACGTGTGATTTTTCATTAGGTTTACAATATTTACACTTTATAGTTTTTTGTTTAATTTGATATTTTCCATCACTAACAAATTAGGTCGTTACCTCGATTTCGCTCTACCTCTCTCTCTCTCTGCCTCTCTGCGACTCTCACTCTCTTTCGCTCATTTTTGTAGTCGCCTGGTTGAGGTTTAATTTTAATTATAATTTTTTGTTAAGTTGATTATTCGCCTACATTATTCAGAGGTTGTCATACAATTTGCCTTTTTTTAATTGTTTTACTAGCCACAATAGTTTATAAATTTACCACTAAATCAGCCAAAAACCAAAACAAGAAACGTTCATTGTAATATGATATAAAATTTGCATGTCTACATACAATTTTGTAGTTTGAATAGAGTTGTTAAGTTGTTAATTTATGATTTATCAGTGAAATCAATTAATCGATCAATAATCGAATCGCAAACGCATTCGATATTAAATCAAAATCAAATCCGTTGCCATCAAACAACAAACAGAACCATTAAAAAACAAAGCTAGTTGAGACACTACAGAAAATCTAAAATAAAATTTGAAATTAAATTCCATTCTGTTCAAAATAAAAGGACAATCCATAATGGTTTTAAGATATATTATGGATTGCTCTCTATATAACTATCGATAACAAATACTACCTTAACTAATTGATTTTCTTTCTCCTTTTGTATAACCTATGACCACCCAACCAAAAACTATAGCTCCACCGGATCGAATATGTTCATAGTCGGCACTTAATATATAGGGATGTGAAACCAGAGAACTTTCTCATTGGCAGAACGTCAACAAAACGTGAAAAAATTATACACATAATTGGTGAGTAATGAATCCAAACGAATCGAATATTAATTGAAATTAATAATATTAATCGAATCTGTTGTTGTTTCATTTAGATTTCGGTTTGGCCAAAGAATACATTGATTTAGATACAAATAGGCATATACCATATCGGGAGCATAAGTCCCTAACCGGCACCGCACGCTATATGTCAATCAATACGCATATGGGGCGCGAGCAGTCGCGACGTGACGATCTGGAGGCATTGGGTCATATGTTTATGTATTTCTTAAGAGGTTCACTGCCGTGGCAAGGCCTTAAGGCTGATACACTCAAGGAGAGATATCAAAAAATCGGTGATACGAAACGTGCAACGCCCATTGAGGTTAACTATTCATCTCTAAAACTCTACTCTCTGGAATGTAATGATAAACTAATGGCTGCTCTTGTCTAATAGGTGCTCTGCGACGGACATCCGGAAGAGTTTGCAACATATTTGCGTTACGTACGGCGGTTAGATTTCTTCGAAACGCCCGATTATGATTTTCTGCGAAGACTGTTTCAAGACTTATTCGAACGTAAAGGCTACACCGACGAGGGCGAGTTCGACTGGACAGGGAAGACAATGGTAGGTGGACCCCATTCATTCTAATCTTTACAAAAACCATATCCTAACCAGAAACTAAGCTTAAGTTTTCATTGAGTGCATTCTAACACAATAGACACCACACATAGACTCACAAAATGAAAACTCTGCCGAATTCTAAAGCATCGATATCATAATTTAATTTATAGGAGACATAGTGCAAACCTTTAGATCAGATCAATGTCTGATATATATATATATAGATATACCATAACCCATATCAAAACCAAAGCCAATACCATCCAAAGGTAACACCCAATCAGCTCTAAAAATCATTTTTGAATTATGGAAAAGATCGAGCATGAAGGGTCGACGTCACTAATCAACCGAAAACCATCATCACCACCACCAGAATAATTAATAAGCCAACTGAATATCGATCGTAGGACCTATAAGCCAATCAATCTGCAGGGCTACCAATCACCAATAACCAATGCTCAGCTCAGTTCGCTTTTTGATGCTGCAGAACGAAAAGAAGAAGACGATCAGTTTGTTCAAAAGTTCGATTCATGTGTTATATCTTCTTTGATCAAAAAAATTTTTTTTATTTTGGAGGCCCCCCTCTGCTACCCAAGATTACGACAAAGTAAAGATGAGCAAACAAAAAAAAATAATAGAAAAATGTGTTTTAATTGACTTTGTACACCCCACCCCTGAATCACATCTTAAGTTGTTCCATAACAATTGAGATAATTCTGCATTGTTTTTAAGACCAAGGAGCAGCTGGATCAAATGAAGGTCATTAAGAATGCGCCGCCGTCGCATTTGGCCAAGAACAAGTCAGATAAGGTATCAGAAGAACATAAAGAGTTATCGAAATATTGAAATCAGTGTTGCATAGCCATGTATGATGCTCGACAGCTCGCTCGCTCTCTCACTCTATGTTGGTAAATGCTTGTATTGTTTGCCTTAGATTTTGGTTTGTTAAGCTAGCATAAAATTAAGCATAAATGATGAAACTAATGATGAATCTAACCTAAGCAACAAATTGATGCCATTTTTAACAGCACTTCTCTTCTCTCTTGAACTCTTTTTCTCTCTTTTTTCGGTTATCAACACCGTTTCATGTCCGTGTGCGTGTAACTCTCTGTGTGTGTTTAAACCAAAAACTCGAAACTGCATCATCTATATATATAAACATATATAATACAAATATAAAACGCAACTGCATCCCAAAAAAATCATTGAAACAAAAAAAATAAAAAATAACAGTCAACGCCCGTCGGATCTCTGCAAACTGGCCATGAAGTCATCATTTCACCAAATAAAGATCGGCATAATGTTACGGCTAAGGTAAAGTATATTTATATGCATATATAATCCATATTACAGAACAGAAAAATACTTTGTACCACTATAATATGCATACATACATGCATATGTATATCTCTCTATTTCTCTGATGGAAACGTGAATTAATTTCGTTTATTTAATGGTTATAAGACAAAAAACATTTACCTTTGTTTAAGAATAGCTTTAGCTGACATTCTCTCTCTTTGGTTTTATTTGTTTTCGATTCTAACTTTTGATCTTTAACTATTCTTCTTTTTCCACCCTACTCTCTCAAACTCTTTTGTTTTGATCCTAATCCTATTTCTCTCTCCACACAAAATGTTGCCATTTACGTTTTATGTATGTATATAAATGAAATGCCTATGTCCGTCCATAGGATGTTTCATATTTTGATTTTGATGACGATAATGAGAATGAGAATGAAGAATATATCATACTTCAGGTTAGACGTTGTAGACTTGAAAAATATCTCTGTACTGGTTAGTGTGAAATGCGAATCTAACCAATCATAGTAGAATATGTTCATCTGTAACCGATTGTAGAGAGTAATGCTACGATCAGAAATGGCTTGTGTTTAATTTTTTTTTGTAATTTCTTCTGCCAAGAACTTTGCTTAGATCTCTGTTACCAGCTTGAAAATGCTTGTGTCATATTTCAATCTGGCAACACCGAGAGTTAAACTAATCCTACTTTTGTGTACTAGAACTGCTTGAATCGATTGATCGGTGAACGGGACTTGTAGTAGCGTTGCTCTCTTACACAAAACTTATTCCGCTCTCTTTTTCTCTCTTTGTTTGATGACATTTGGATTTTTGTTGGCATTACTTGTCTACCATATGAAATAAGTTTATGTTTTCGGTTTTTGTTTCGGTGATAACTTTAGTTCCAGCACACACTTGACTTGCTTTAGTTTAATTTGACTCACAAACACACACACACACTCAAAACATACACACCCCAAAAAATACTTTATTCAAATTAGAGCTGTCTCTTTGTTGTACAGTAAAAACAAAAAACAAAATGTATACAAATCGAAAATTAATTATTGATAAATTTGCATAAATCCGTTTCCAACAATTGCTCGCTCGCTCGCTCGAAAACCGATCCGAAAACTGTACCCAAACAAAAACCAAACCACACAACTTACCTCCAATCCTCCACAATCAACCATCGAACCGAACCGAATTGAATGGTATTAAATCGAATTTAACCGACAACCAGACAAATGCCAAAGGAGGTGTTGCTGCGTGGCCTGATGTGCCAAAGCCGGGGGCAACACTGGGCAATCTAACGCCGGCCGATCGGCATGGCTCAGTGCAGGTAAGTTCGCTGCGACAACCGGCCAGTGTTGTACAACAGTTTTTCTTTCTTTTTCCGTTTATTCTGTTCTGTTTTGATTTCTGTTTTGTCGCTCGCTCGCTATCCGCTCTCAGTCTTCAGTCTGTAATTGTATATAAATAATACGTACGAAAATTTACCAAAAATCTGTAGAAAGGCCAAAACATGTCCGCACATCTATAAACATAAATACATACATATCTGCATTATCGCCTCATAATGTTATTGAAGTCTTTGAACGATTGTAATTTTGTACATATACCCGTACTGTATATCCTATAAGTATATCTATCCTATGGTTATTACAACGAAACATTATCTATTCATTGAATTACTCGCAGACTTTTATATTTTTGGCCTTTTCGATTCTAATGTTTTCACTTGATTTACTCTACATTAGCTCAACAAGGTACTGAACAACAATCTCTCTCTCTCAATCTCCTCCCAACGTGTGTTATTCCTAATCCTCTCCACTCTAGTTTACTCCACTTTTGTTCGGTTCGTTTTGGTTTATACCCCACGTTTCGTTCGTTCTCTTCTTGGGTACAACTTTTTCTCGGATCTTCCTCTATTTTATTTTTGAATATAGATTATTTTTCCTTGACTAGTGTAATTGATTGAGGATCCCGCAATGAAAGCTGCATGTGAGATTTTAAAGAAGATGAAACGTGTTCGCACCTGCATGCTGTGTGCATTAACCAACACTGGTCTAGCCGTAACTGTACTTGTCTGCATGTAACACAAAAAAAAAACACTCACAAAAACAACACCCTACTTAGAATCAGCATGGCTCACTTTTCACATACCAGATACAAAAAACACATACACCAGATACAGTCATAGACTTAAGAATTCGGCGCTAGAGGATTACCATTTTGTCATAAATCAAGAACCGATATTGTATCCATCATTGGCATGCCATAGCCTTACTATTGGAGAGAGTCCAGTTTTAATACATCGAAACAAATTCGAAACAAACCACCAAAAACTTATTACAGAGATTGCCCGAAGATTCGAGCTCCGATGATGATAGCCCATTTGATGCTTATTATGAGAAAAGCGACGACGAACCGCCTAAGAAATAAAGACACCAATCAATGAACTACCTCCACCAATACTACTTCTACTACTACTACTCTACTTCTTCTACTACTATTACTCAAATATAAACGAATTTACCCTCCGAAATGTGCCTAACGGGTTTCCTATTGTTCCTAAGAGAGAGGTATTTTCTAAATTAATGCTGTCTATCCTGTCGTCTACTTTTGTCCTGTCATACATCATCTATATGTAGTAGTATCTGTGTGTGTTTTGTTGATGTGTGCCTGCACTTGTGATCTGCAAACGAGCCCCAATGTTCGAAGGCAATCTCTGTAGTAGGTCCAGTAAGGGAAATTCATGACAGACATTGATAGTTAATCGCTCGTTTGCAAAAATTTAAATCCCCCTAAAATTTACCCACACGTAGTCCAGTTTGGTTTTGTAGAGCTGTATAACAGTTTTGTTCCATGTGGTGACTGTACGGCGTTTCAATTCTGGTTTTTGTTTAAATTGTATTTCGATTAATGATTTCATTTTTGACTAGTGCTAACAAGAAATCAAAATAACGAGTGTAATTCGTCCAATTATGTATTATCACCAGTTACTATATTTATATATATGTATCTTTCTAAATATATATATATATATTTATACTATGTGTATGAACTATATGTTTAGTACAAGATTTGATGATAAGTGGAGACTAATAACTAATACTTTATGCATCATCTTTCTCTTTTTTGTGTCCTTGTTTTCAGGTTGTGAGTTCGACGAATGGCGAACTAAATCCGGACGATCCCACGGCCGGACACTCAAACACGCCCATCACACAGCAGCCTGAAGTCGAAGTTGTCGATGAAACAAAGTATGTGTTATTTAAGGGATCAATTAATCGAAATGTCGATAGATAGATAGTTTTCTATATAGATGTATCGAGCAATAGACTGAGAAATTGATGTAATATTATGAGAACGCCTTTAATAATGCATCTCAAGTGAACAGTTTTTCAATATAATGGATAAACTGATCCAAGAGAGAAACAAGTAGACTAATAGATTTATCGATATACGATAGATTGATGTATATATCGATACATCTTTCAATGGATCTACAGATTTGTCCTGTTATATTTTCATATAAAAATTTATCGGTACATAGAACGTTCTATCGATACATTTAGTTTAGATTCTTACGATAAATCGATTAAAAGATCAACTTAATTAGTGAAATTTTTGTTGCTTTTGTCGTTTTTAATGCGCAACTTCCGTTTTTCCGTTTTCTCTTTCTCTCTCTCCGTAATCCTTATCCGTATCCACCACCAACTCCAACTCCACTTCCCCTCCGTATCCGTATCCAATCTCGTTTCTGTCCCTTGGTTAACTGTCTCCAGTGGTTCCTTATATTCCAGATGTTGTTGTTTCTTTAAACGAAAGAAGAAGAAATCGACGCGCCAAAAATGACTAGACGGTGTACAATGTAGTCCGGAACGCGAGGCAGTCACCCTGCTGCGCGCCACTTCACATTCAAACTCACGGGATAGCGTATTGAATAATCCGAGTCAGGATTACATCCAGCAGGCAACGTCGCAGCACACGTTGCGTTATCCTCCATCCGCGTCGATGCTGACGCCCACACCAACTACAAACACACCGACACTTCCGTTGTAATTTATATAAATATAAAAAAAAAACAAACACCCTACAAACAAAACATAAAACAAGAACAGAGAATGCAAAATGCATAAAACAAAACAAAAACAAAAAACCCAAACAAAACCAACCATAAACATAAAAAAAAATATACACTAAAACAGAGTAAAACAAACAAACAAACAAAATGAAACAAGTTTTGATTAATTAATGTAATGATTGTATTTTATTATTATTTTTATTATTTACCAATTTTGCGTTTATTATATAAATTATTATAATTATTAATTATATTATTATTAATTAATGCTATTACAAATAAAAAAGAAAACAAAATTCAAACGTAAAACCGAAATAGAAACCGAAACCTGTCCAAGAATCATTCACACAAGCAGCCAGTCAGCGCCCTCCCCATCCGCAACCATCGGTGGATTTAGAAGGGAAACACCCCTTAACCTATCCCCAAACCCCCATTGCTCCTAACTAAAGGACACTTAAACATACACTCACACACACATACAACAAAAAAGAAAACCACTTAACATATTTATATATATAAACATATATATTAAAAAGAAGAAGGAGAAACTAGTGCAGCATCATTAAATGAGAAAAAAGATAAAGGAAGGAAAAGAAAGGAAGGAAGGAAGGAACAGAAAAGTAAATGATAAAAAACATATTTATACGCAACCAACAACAAATTGTAAATTATAATGAAAGAAAAGAAAGCGAAAATAAACTTCATTTTTGAAAAACTATTCAAAACTAATGCATATGTACGCGGATATATAGGAAACCGAAACCAACTTATATACATAATACGTATATATCAAATATATAGTATAATTGTATGCCTCTCTCTCGCTCTGGCACACGCAGCAGTTAAAGTACTCACCAGAACCCCAGGTCCCATTCGAATCGATCCGATCCTCATCCTCCCCATCAGCGTAGGCAGCTCTGGTTTAGCTCTGTTTTTTGGATGCACTTTTCTAATGCTAATCTATGTATATACATATACACACGCGAGCAGATATTTTGATATATATACACACATCTATGTAGCGTATCTATTGGATAAATCAAAATGTAGGAGTCCCAGTCCCTCGGAAAATCCTTCTTGGTAGCTGAATTCGTTTTGTGCATTTATTTTTGCGAATTATTTCTTAGGTCAATGTTTCATTTAGCGGATAATAAGTGGGGCCCGAGTTTCCACAGAGAGATCAATCACTCCTCGATAGTTAAAACAAAAACAAACTGTACTGAGCCACTTATTTTGATATTACGTGATACGAGTACTAAACTAGCTGAGAAAGTTGCCTGCACTACTCCCAAGTTCCCCAAAGGAATGAAACGAAAAGATCCCCCCACAAACCGCACACATCTCCGACTCTGAACGAATTTGTTTCTCCTCTACACTTCTCCATGAAACATGAAAAAGTACAGCTAAAATCAATAAATCATACGAGTGTGGAATAAAAATATATATATATATAATTTTAAACAAATTTTTTATACTTATTACAAATATACATACACCATAAAATAAAAATAGTGTTAACTTTACAAGAACAAAGCAAACTTAAAGTGTTTTTTGCAATCTTTCTAGCAATGAAAAACGAAAAAAACAAAAACAAAACTAACAGAAAATCAAATTTCAAATTTTACATGAATAACAAATTGCATATAGTATATGAAATTAATCCAAATTTCTTGTATAGTTAAATGAAACTCATTTGTATTATATATGAAATATTAAAGATAAATCAATTATGCTATAAATTAAAATATGAAAAAGAAAGCAGTCAAGCAGAACAAGAAAATTCGCACTAGTTTATATATATATACTTAACTAAAGTAAAGTATAACAGATTATGCATACATAATGTACTTTAAATGTTGATAAAAGAAAGGAAAAAAAACATAAAGCAAGCATTTGCGACCACACATACACCAAGCCGTGAAGGCCAGAACGAAGCAGTGCTGGCAGAGCGAAAAACAACATACACAAAGAACACACAAAAAGCGTTTAACGGTTGGCTAGCAAGCATTGCACGCAAGCCTTTGGTAATTGCAGGTAAAGCAGTTAACATTGTTAACTGCGGCAAAGCAGTTTTAAAACAAAAGCAAACGGAAACAAACAAAATGTAAAGAATATTTTCCAAACCGAAATGTTATCTCAGCGGCAACATTTCGAAAGAAAGCAAAAGAACAACAGAAAATATTGTATAAAAAATGATTTATTACTAATTTATAAGTATGACAACAACAGCAACAACAACAACAAATGATAACATAAACAATGTAAGCAAATAACATGGAGAGAAACAACCAACAAAAAAGAAAGTAAAAAAATGAAACAAAAAACAAGCGAAAAAATGAGAACAAAATAAATGAGAAATTATTGAAAAACTGCGTGTGTTTTTTACATGTTTTTTTTCGGAAAGATACTTAAGCTAATTAATGAAAATACAGCTTTATTGTATAAGATTGAACTTATGATTAATTAGTTGGGTATTTTGCACTAGAAAACAAAAGAATTAGACCAATCACGTTGATCGTTGATTAACGTTAATTTATGGATCATGCGGTCTCTAACAAACAGTTCACGATTTGTCCACGCTTTAATCTGATCCGTGCACTTGTCCACTTTGTTTTAGTGTTTGTTATTCGAATGTACATATGTACGTATGTACATATGTATGTACCATTGTCCAATCATTATATCGTAAGGGATGCGCTAAAATTCGAAGGAACTACCCGGTTTGTTCGCTTCTCACGTCTGTTTTTTAAGCTACACGCCAAATAATAAAACCAATAATAAAACCTTTACATATGGTTAGATAGTTAAATAGTTTAAAGAGTATTAAATTCTTTTTCCCAAAAATAAGCAAAAATAACTTTTAGGTGATTATAAATTGCACGTACACATTGCTACCTGGCAATAATTGCGATTCCGATTACAGTTACTTTCCGCACTACTAGTTGACACATTAATTACACAAAGCTTACACGACTACCATCAGTTGAACACATTTACCGTTAGAGTTACACGAGCGTACGCCATAGCCGGGACAGCAACCGCAGAGCTTTCATTTCCGGCGCAAAGCTGTTGTAAGCAGCAGGCAGTTGTTATTGTTGGCCGTTGGCTCTAAGTAAAAGTTGCGTTCAGCTCAGTTGATCCTAAATCTTGGCTAAGGTCAGGCGCCTTTTAATGCTAGCCAAAGTGAACGGATGCAATTACTCAATCGGGCGCGGGCGCGAACTCAAGCTCCATCTGGCCTTTGTGCATTGTGCCAATCGGCAATGAGTCAGTGTGTGTGTGTGTGTGTGTGCATGTGTGTTTTATGCTGAGTCCAAGACAATTATTATTATTACGGAGAAACAACAGCAACATTCAACAGGTGAACGTTCGAGATGGAGCGGGTAGAGATGGGAAGTAAGAGCGCCAGCAGTGAGAGCGCTTTAAGAGTGTTTTATTAACTGTTTAACCTGCTGCTCACGTCTGCTGGAGCGGGAGCGAGAGAGAGAGAGAGGCGGCGCGCAAGAAAGCTTCAAATGAACTACCAAAACTTGACTCCCCATCCAACGTCAATCCAACAAAACAGTCGTCGAGACTGCTTGAAGCGTTAAACACCACACCTCTGCGCCTCCAAGAAAAGCAGTTCAACCAGCCAATAAACGCACTTTCAAAGCAGTTTATTCAAATGCTGTGAAGGAAAAGTTTCCCATTGACACGAAAAGGGAAAGAAAAGTCAGGTACTGTCGGAGCGGCATGCACCTGAAGCAGTTTAAATCAGAGTCCAAGTGTAAACAACTAAATGGTAAACCACAACCCAACCCAACATTGACATTCCGAGCACAGAACCGCTACCACATGCTGCTGGGCAAATTTCAGCCAAGAGAATTGAACGTCTAGAAGAGACCACAGTGGAGGAGAGCAGAGAGACGAGAGCAGAGCGTAGAGTAGTGGAGCTGAAAAGCCAAACAAAACAAATTATCCCAAACAAAACGAATCAATACAAAAGAAGCCGCGAAAATGAATCAAACACAAGTGAATAATTTTCTGAAATGCTTCCTGCAAATTGATGGAAGCAACAGCCACTGGACGGCACGTCACGACGAGGATGAGGAGGCTGATCACGATCACGAGCACGACCACGACGATGACGACACGAGTGGGGTGCTGATAGCGAAGGTAACGGCGATGGTGGTGCTCTGCTTTGCCAGCACAATCTGCGGATCGATACCCTTCCTGCTGAATCGCTGCTACCGCTGGACGGAGAACCATACAAATGCCCGATCGGCGACAGTGGTCAAGTGCCTCCTGTACTTTGGCGGAGGAGTCCTGCTGGCCACCACCTTTCTGCACCTGCTGCCAGAGGTCCAGGAGGTTGTGGAGGAGCTTCAGGAGTGCGGCATCATTGGGGAGCTTAGCTTCCCGCTGGCGGAGCTTCTCATGTGCTGCGGCTTCTTCCTGATGTACTTCATCGAGGAGGCCATGCACACGTATGTGGACAGGCACCAGCAGGATCCGGCCGGAGCGGCCTTTGAGCGGGGACACAGCATCCGCAACAGCCATCTGCTCAAGGCGAATGAGCCCAGTGCTCCGACTGAAAATGGAGGCAGCAATGCGCCATCCGAGATGGGAACACTCTCCGTGCAGAATCTCCTGCAGAACGATCTCGAGCAACAGAAGTTTGGCGCCAAGCAGCAGCAGGCTCTGCCCCACGACAGCCACATGCAACATCATAGCCACAGCCACAGCCACAGCCATGGGCACGGACACGGACACAGCCACCTTCCCGTCGTAATGGACGATGCCTCCCCCACGGACATACTGACCTCCTCCCTGCGCGGACTCTTCATTGTCTCGGCACTGTCCCTCCACGAGCTCTTCGAGGGCATGGCCATTGGCCTGGAGAGCTCCGCCAGCTCCGTGTGGTTCATGTTCGGAGCCGTGTCCGCCCACAAACTTGTGCTTGCCTTCTGTGTGGGCGTGGAGCTAATTGTGGCCCGCACTCGCCTCCCGCTGGCCATCCTGTACGTGCTGACATTCGCCGTTGTCAGTCCGCTGGGCATTGGCATTGGTATCTTGATCAGCAACGGTCAGGAGACGGGCCCCAATCTGGCGTCAGCCATTCTGCAGGGCTTTGCCTGCGGCACACTCATCTATGTGGTGTTCTTCGAGATCCTGTCGAAGAACAGATCCGGACTGCGCGCCTACATGGCCCTCTTCGTGGGCTTCCTCGTCATGTTCGGGCTGCAGCAGATCAGTGAGTAAAACTAAATCCCCTATATAATCCCATCCCATGATCGAGTGGTAATTAGTTGGGCCGCAGTCAGATGAGATGTCAAGTGCTACGCTATTCTTCGACCGGAATCGATTCGGGCGATTAGGGAACAGGTTCTAGACAGCTCTGCTATCCGATTTATTCGCCGCTGCGTGGTTGACCTTGTAACAGACCTTGCGGCCTGCGGTTTATTTTGCATAACGTACACACGTCTGTCTGTCTGTCGGTCGGTTTGTCTGTGTACCTGGAAAACAGGTGGATCCCAAAAACAAAAAATCCCGTACCCCAGCCATGAAGTCATCAGCTCTCATCCAATCGAATCGAGGGGGTTGCCCATGAAAAAAGTACCCGAGGAGAGATCAAAGCCAGACCAATTGCGACAGTCGATGAAGGGTTGCTTCATCCATCCCAACAGATGAGCCATCGATATATTTACACGTACAATTTTATGGCACCAGGCCGTGAGATTAACTCGAACTGGTACAGGTTCAGTCTAAGTTGGATACGTAAATATTATAGCTATAGATAAGGGCCCGGGGGCCATCAAAGCACCCATAAATCATACTCTGAAGGGTAATTGTTTATGGAACAGGCATGCAATTTGCTTTTGCTTTTGCTTTGCACTCGTAGTAGTAGTGTGGCTGCTATATGTACGTACTTCCGAAACTGAACGCTAATCGGTTTTCTATCGGGGCAGAAATTGGGTTCCCCAGATTACAATCGACACACTTTTCAGCTTTTCTTCAAGTTTGAGATTGTCACGATAACTAACCGCAACACCTTCGCTTTCCTTCCACTTTTTCAGGTGCCAGTGGTGGACACGGGCACAGCCACAGCCACGGCAGCTGCTCGGCCCACACAGATGATCACCAAGAGACTGAGACCAGGTCGGGTTCGGGTTCGGGTTCGGGAGGTCACTCACACTCACATGACCACGAACACGCCCACCTGCCCCCACATCACAATCACGCCGAGGAGCTGGCCGCTGTCCACAATTACGAGCAGCAGCTGCAGGTCCTGCGGCAGGTGACCCAAAAACTGCTTGAAGCCAAGAAGGACACTTAGGACATAAGCTGCCTAGCAGAATGTTTATATATTTATAATATTTGTATATTTATGTAGAAAATAAAGAGCATGTACATTAAGTAAACACATTACAAGAATGGAGATTGTGGGACCATTCCATCCATGGAATGATCTTTTGAAGCAGGATCTTTCGACGTTTTTACAGCTCACGTTTGAAGCAAAAACTTTTATTCGTTTAATTAGAGTTTTTTTTTGTTAAATAAACAACAAGGTTTGTGACACAAAGACGACTTGTCTGACGACCTATCATATCATTCCTATTCAATCCACACATTTCGAATTATTAGTCCCAATTCGACAATAATTAGCACAATGGTGTCAACTTTATGACGTTCTGTGGATTGCGACTTTTTGGAAATTTTGAATAAACACACGAACATTTTTCCTACCAAGACTCGTGCAAGAGGAGCATTCATTTGTATGACAGAAATTTATATAAAAAATTGATGGATTTATCCGATTTATTTGGTTCTTAAAAATCGCAAAAAATCTTTCTTTATTATTTTTATTATTTCCTCTGCAGACTACGGAAAAAACTGAAATTTGGTTTAAACTTGGCCGTTGGCGCTTTTACCTCAATTCAGAATGGTTATTCGGTCTTTGTGGCTGCAAATTTGGAAATTTTCAGGTTGATATCTTCAAAGCTCATGTAAAAACTGACAGTCAACGCCATGATAATATATTATCTGTGAGAAATTCTATATACAATCCGGTCCGTAATGAAGACTGAGCTTGGGAATCATCTTATTAAAAACCTAATACCCCCATATAATGTGTAATAAACTTGCTGGTGTTATTTTTGTTCTGTGAGTTTCCACAGAATGCCTGGAATAGAACAGAGTACGTGCCCAGACAAGGCACAAAGTTCCCTCTCATCAAGATTGAACGGACCGAAGCCAGGCCCCGCTCGGAGCAAGGTAGCAGCAAGACAGAATTCTAAACATTGTGAAATTTCAGCACGATATCTCTCGATTGAAGTGTGCAAATCGTAAAGTGGTTTGTTCGGGCCAGGCCAGGCCAGGGCGGGGCGGGGCGGGGCTAATGAACGAGGCCTTGTTGTCAGGCCCCTGGTCTGCATCATGTGATCGGGTGGCAGTTTTTGTCGCATAGTCCACAATAAATCCGAGTACAATTTCAAGCTGATAACTTTGTTGCTTGCGTAAAATTTTAACACGATATCTCCGCAAAATGGTAGACGGACGGGTTTCGACTTCGCTCTGTTGTTTGCTCTCTTCTCGCTGGCACTATCGCTCTCTCTCTCTCTCTTTGTGTTGGGTTTTGGGTGGAGATAAGTGTGCACACTCGCATGTTCTCCGGCCATGCCCCAAACCAAACCCGAAACTGGCTGTCAGCACTCAGCCTCAGCGGCTGCGGCAGTGGCAGCACCTGGCCCGCCCAACGCCGCCCCCCCCCAGCGCTGCTCCCTATTGCAGCGGAAATTAGCGCGTCAAGTGTCAAGTGTGAATTGTCAGGCTGCTGGCGGTAACAATATTTGACAGCGACGGAAAACATCTCCACAACTTAATTAGCGATACGGCCCGATCTTATTTACATCTGATGATGTTCGCTCCACTCCGCTCCGGTCCCCCGCTTCCCGTTCCCCACCCATATGCGCTGCTGTTTCTAACGGCATTGCGCTGGATACCCATACCCATATCAGAACAGATGGTATTTCCCAATTTCTCTCTCTCTGTCTCTGTCTCTGTTTCTCTTTCTAGTTGTTGTTATCATTAACATGATGGCTATCTTTCAGAATTGCACACACCTTAGAATGTTGCAAAATCATATAAGTAGCTTAAAAGCCCCAACAAAAGGCGGCCCACTTAATCTCTAATTTGTGTATTCTTGGCTGATTACACATCCACTTGAACCTCTCCCCCACAGGCTCTTGAACTAAGTCAACTGGAAGAGTTTGTTATTAGAAAAAAAAAATGTACAAAGAGCAGGCCGCATCAAGGTATATCATATGTATATATAATCTTGATCAGCGTCGGATAGCGGATGTACGAGTCTGTAAATAGCCATGCCTGCCCCTTTGTCTCCGTCCGTCCGTCTGTTTTGTTTGCGGCGAGATAATGTCGCTCCGATCATAAGAAAATGTAGAACAATAAAAATATACATCTAGTAATGGAAAGCTTAAAGTTTAAGCTTAAAGTCAAGCTAAATTCAAGCAGCTCAACAGCTATAAAATGGGTCCAACTTCGCACAGTGGGGCCTTTGCCCATTTCCGCTTGCATAATTAATAACTTCTTAACTTAATTTTCATGAAATAAACTGCATTTAAAAGAAAATCCTTTAAAATATAGTCTGTCTGTTTGCGTGCGGGGCATAAAAAGTTAAACTTTTGATTTTTTTTTGGATCGATAAAGTAAGTTGGTCATTTTCGCTACACATATTAATTTAAAATTTTATTTGTAATCTAATAGAATTTATAAAATATACACAAAAATAAAAAAAATTGTATTATAAAACTTATTTAAAAATTTATTTATTTATTTATTTGCCGATTTATTTTCACTATTTTGTCTAATGGATGAAATATATGAATCATTAGTTAATTGACCTCAATTTCGGTTGTTTTTCAACTTTTACTTGATTTTACAATTCAAATGAATAAATAAATAAATCTGAGTTTTCCCGATATTTTTTCTGTGCATGGATGTAGTTGAATATTTCTTTATTCAATTATAAAAGCGCGATTGGTCCGGCTCGATTTAGACCGATTTAACTGACGCAACCTCGCACAAAACACGGTCAAAATATGATTTTATATGGGATTTATAACTGCGACAGCCCTAATAAACATAATTCTGTCCTAAGCTTGAAAATCGATTATGTTGAAAATTCGATTTTTGGATGCTCTGTGAAAGACTCCATCAGATGAGTGTATTCGTTTTATGCAATGCGTTCTTTGGCCTACTCTGCGACGTTACGGTATGTGGAAATGGTCACCAAATGAGCATTGGAGAATTCCAGCAATCCGATCATCATTAGCCATTTCAGCTAAAAGTTTGAGTATTTAAGGATGTTCATTTATCCTCGTAGCTCAGCGAGAAGCGTTTGTCCTCCGAAGTGATGATTGTCGGACGGTGAATGCTTCCCCTCATTGTCCAATGCAAATCCTGATGCTGGCCTCGGGGACACAGATCGCAGCGTAGTCGCAAAGTAATGTTTGGGAATCCGCTGGTGCGACCGATCCTGATGCTGGTCGTCACACTGGATGCTAACTTCTTCCTAGAAGCCCTGAAGGTCCTGGAGGAGGTCTCAACAGCAACAAAGTCCTGGCAGAACACTGATGAACATCTCGCCTACTTGTACATTTACACCCAACAATATGCTACGAATCTGAATCGGTTGTCATCGACAAGCTGGCTGCCATGCAGCTTGCGAATTTGTGGCATATTTTTAGGCAAAAACGTTCCACCTGTCCACCGAGATATAACTTACAGAAAAAGAAGCAAGAGCCAAGCAAGAGTCGTTAAATGTTTATTATATGCAACTTTATTTTGTTTTTCTTTGTTTTGTTATCAAGTTGAATTTAAATATGTATGTATTGTGTGTGTAAAGTTAATTTCATGACATTATTAACGTGGCAGATACAATATGCTGTATGTTTGTTCGTTGGCGAAGCGCGGCGGCTGCCACAAAAACGCCTTTCGTGGCTCTCTGGGCAGGGATATGCGATGGGGCCTTAACACTTAGAACGTAAATAGTTGGGCATAAATATATGGTTTTAGTTCTCTAATACACAGTGACATCAAATAGTTATACTCGTATTTGCTTTTGTTTGTTCCTTTAGCAATGAATGGCCAATAAATACAGATTTGGATGTGGATTCGGATTTGGATTCGCTACAGTTAATCGATTTCTTTGCTAGGTTTTTACTCAACTAATTTAACTTGTAACCAATTTCGCTAAATAATTTATTTAGTATTCGTATTCGATAACTGTTAGTCGTTCCGTCTAAATTTATATACAAATTAGGTGGTGTGGGGGGATGGGGGGGCCTAAGAGCTAATTAAATGTCGTTAACTGTACTCTAAATATTGCAAGTCGACCACACAACAGTTGCGGCTAAACGAGGAGACTAAACATAAGTAGATGAATTAAAAAAAAAAAACACAGTCTTATTTATGTATGAAGAAATCCAATGTGGGGGCGGGCTGGGAGGGGCAGGAGCAGGAGCAGAGCAGGTGGCAAGCAAGGTACGCATAGGATATGTGTATTCACTGGGGAGACTCCAACTGGGCAACTGTGCAACTGTGCCACTGTCCATCCAGCCAACTGAGTTGAGTCTCCGTCTAGGCCGCCGCTGCTGCAGTCACTGCCTGCGTGGGCAGCAGCCGGGTGGACTGCAGTGTGGACTGCTGCTGCTTCCAGGGGCGCCTCTTCATGTGCGTCTGCTGCGAGCCAGTCCATCTGCAGAGCGAAAGTTAGTGCCACGACTCCCGCCACTTGATGGACACTCACTCACCTGTGGTATTTGGATAGCTTGCGACGCTTGAAGGGCGGCAGCCCATCCACGTCCAGTCGACTGCCCACAAAACCAAAGTTGCCCACACTGGCCGACAGAGGAGCTGAACGAAAGAGAACAGAACAGGAAATGGGCAAATGTGAACATTTTTGTGAGCTCAAGTCAGGAAATTTCTGTGCTTACAGTGCTTGCGTTTGTTGTTGCGCTGCACTTGATTGACGACTGCAGGCAAGTGTGGAGCAGAGCCGGTCTCCAGGTGCGCCTGGTGTCTGCGTACGCTGCAGCTGCGTCCTCGACAGCCCTTCAGCTGCTCCAGGGCGTCGTGCATGTGGGCCCTGTCGCCGGGCGTCAGACTGGCAGCGCGATTCGTGGTCTCGAAGCGATCTAAAGGGAGGGAGTCGGACATGAGACTGGCTGCAGTGGATATATTTGGGAGTTGGTCAGTGGTCAGTGGTCAGTACCTATGGTCAGGTTGTAGAAGGTAATCAGGCCCGTGGTGAACTCGCAGTAGAGATAGTTGTGGGTGGCATTGATGGTCCTCAGGCAGGAGTACGTGTTGTTGTTGGCGTTCATGCAGAAGCAGAAGGGGCTATCGTTCCACAGGGGAGCCGTGCGCCAGTGCTGGTTGTCGTGCGAGAAGCAGTTCATCTTCTCGGACAGGCACTCCTTCTCCAGACGGGCCTTCTTGATCCGCTTGCGCTCCTTCTTGCGCTGACGCTCCTCCTTCAGCTTTCGACGCGCCTCCCGAGCCATTTCCTTGGAGTCGGCATAGCTGCAGGGGAATACAATTAGTAATGTGATCTCTGTGGGGCCGCTGGGGCAGGTTTACTTCTCGCCCGCATCTGGTTCGCAGTAGCATTCGGCCCGCGAGGCATAGCGCGGCGTCTGGGGCTGCTGCTGCTCCTGTTCCTGCTCCAAGGAGTCAAAGACGGCGGCACTGCCGAAGCCGCGGAATATCTCCTTTTGTCCCACACTGGGCCGCGCCGTGCTGCTGGCAGCTGCTCCCGTAAAGTAGCTCATGTTGAACTCGGGTCCGGCTCCAGTCTCCCCCAAAATGTTGGCCTCGTTGCGTCTGCGGCTTTCGTTGCGGCGGCCAGCGGCCAACGCCAGCTTGTTGCTCTCCCGCAGCTGCTTCTTCATCTCCTTCAGCCTGCCGATCTTGTCCTTCAGCAGCTTGATCAGCATATCGATCTGGTTGCGCGAGGTGCGCCACGTCTTCTCATCATCGTAGATCACATCCGAGCAGTTCACCTTGCCCGTGTTCGCATCCACGAAGCACCGATGGCCCACCCGTCCCCCAGTCTTGGGAAACTTTCCGCCACGCACAAAGGAATTGGAATTCGAACTGGAACTGGAGATGGAGCTGGAGCTGGAGTTTCCATTCAGACTGCTGTGCAGCTCATGCTCGTTGAACTTGTGCTCCAGAGTCTCCAGTGTGGTCTGTATCTGCTGGATGACCTGGGCAATCGTTTCGTTGGAGTTGGAACTGGGATTGGGACTGGAATTGGGATGGGGATTGGCGGCCACCTCGCGCTTGCTGCGATGGCTGTGCTCTGCCAGCAGATCGATTGTTTGGTGCAGACCCAGCAGCTCCTCCATTTCGTAGGGCATTTCGGTGTGATAGACGACAAGCTCCCGCTTGTTCCTGCGCTTGCCCCCCTGGTGCACACCATGGTGCGTGCGCTTGTTCAGGCGGTGTCCACTCGCGGAGGGTGCTCGGATCTTGGTGTACACCAGCCCATCGGAGGTGAAGCAGGCACAATTGCGTTGGTACTGCTTCCGGGGCATGGCCGCCAGCTGATGCTCGAGTTGCAGCTGAAAAGGAACCCCGAATGAGCTTCCATCATCATTTGGATATCTTCGTGGCGCTGTACTTACGTGGAACTTGCACTTGTGCTTCCGCCAGCGTCCGTCCTCGTTGACGCACTTCCACTTCTGGCCGGGCAGGCAGTTCTTCAGCAGCGCTGGGTCCGAGCACTCCGAGTTGAGGCGCATCATTTTGGTTACGTACGGGGCCACTGGCAGATTGTTGTCCTGCTGCTGCAGCAGCTCCTGCTCCTGCTCCTCCAGCTCGTCGTCGTCCACCATCCTCGCCAGCGGCATCCTCTAGATCCTCGTCCTCCAAGGCAGCCGCTGAACTGTCCATGGCTCCATCGCCATCCAGGTCATCCTCCTCGTTGTCCGTTTCCGTATCCTCGTCGAAGTCATCCTGCTGCTGCTGCTGCTGCATCTGCTGCTGGGTGGTGCTGGGGCTCATTAGCGTGGCAGCCGTGCTGCCGGGCGTGGAGGTGGCCCCTCCGCCCAGAAAGTCCTCGAGCAGCGAGCTATTGGCCAGCTTCATGCTGCGTCGCTCGGCCTGGAGCCGTGCCCGCGACTCGGCAATCTGATCGGCCGTCTCGCGCCGTCCGGAGCTCTCGATGAGGAAGCTGTCGGGCCAGTTATCCCTCACAGCGCGATTCCGGCTGAGCAGCAGCGGCAGAATGCTGCGGCCATCCATGTGCTGGGGCGTGGGCACTCCACCCATGTCCAGGAAAGTGGGAGCCAGATCCACATTCAGCACGATCTCATTGACCCTGCCAGGGCACAACAGACATGATTATTGGTCATTTGGGGGGGGAAGATGCCATCAAACACTTACACCTTGGAGGCCTGTATGCCTGGGCCACGGATGAGGAACGGCACTCGCACATCGAACTCGAAGGGGAAACTCTTGCCCTTGATCAGGCCAAACTGCCCCAGATGGTAGCCATGGTCCGAGGTGTACACAATGTACGTGTTGTCCAGCTCCCCGAGATCCCTCAGCTCGTTGTACACCCGCTCGACGGCCACGTCCACGCTCTGGAGCGTCTGCAGCCGCTTGGTCATCAGCAGATTGGTGAAGCGCTTGTGCACGGGCTGCATGGGATCGGTGACCCTGAGGATCCACTGCTTGTCCGGATTGGGTGCGTGGTCGTACGAGGGAGTGCTGTGGGCACACCCAGAGTTAGAAATGGCACAGAGAGGGGGAGTGGGAGGGGGAGGGGAATACTCACTGGTGGGTGGTCACGTTGAAGAACAGGTGACTGTACTGCGGGGCCGAATCCTCGGGGCCGTGCGGCGCCGGGAAACTCATCGTGAGGAGGACGGGCTTGCGCTGGTTCTGCTGCTTCGAGGAGCGCAGGAACGCAATCGAGTCGTTGGCTATCAGATCGGGATAGTAGTCCTTGGCGTAGTCGAAGCCGTGCTTGATCTTCTGCCCGTTCAGATTGATGCTGTAGTTGTAGTACTTGGAGTTCATGATCAGGCCGCCCCACTCGCGCCACCCCGGCGGTATGTACGAGCCGTTGTACTTGTTCAGATACTTGCCGAAGTAGCCGGTGCGGTAGCCGGCATTCGAGAGGTACGTGGCATAGGAGCGCGTCTCGTGGGTGGCCTGCCACTGGGGACTCGAGCAGTTGTCGTTGTTCGTGAACACCATGTGGTTGTGCACGTACATGCCCGTCAGCAGCGAGGATCGTGCCGGACAGCACATGGGCGTGGTGGTGTAGGCGTGCCGGAACTCGGCCCCGCCATCCCTCAGCAGTCGCAGCGTGCGCGGCATAAAGTTCAGCGATCCCAGCTCCACGTCCTGGTCATCGGTGAGTATCAGTATGATGTTCGGTCGCCGTTCGCGCGGTCCATTCGAGTCGCGTGAGAAACGCTTGCCCGAACGGCTGCGATGCTGCTGCTGTCGGCGATGGGAGGACGATGGCTCGCCGGATGGCGACTGCTCTTTGCCGGCCACATGCAGCACAAAAAGGAAGAGTATCAGGCAGCCAATGGCCAGGTGCTTGCTGCAGTGCCCCCTCCTCATCATCATCATCATCATTGCAGTATTTGTGAGCAAGAGCAGGACCGTTCCGTTGCTGGGCGCTCCGTCTGAGCGTCTGAAGACGCGCTCAAACCGCACAGCAGTCGCCTGCGGAGTATCTCATGGCTTTCTGACCTGGAAAGAAGCAGATGGAGAATGAATTGAGTCTCGGAGTGAAGGCATTCTGAGGTTTTTTAATTGAGATTTCGGCCAACTCAACTGTGGGCCCTCAAGAAGCATCTTGGGGCATCCTGAATCGGGCTCCAGTTGCAGCTGCTTTGAATTTTTGGAGTTTCTTTTGGGGTTCTTTTTGCAGCTGCTGCCTGGCTCTTGGCTTGGCGAAATTTCATGCACCAGTTGACCTCGACGGTGGCTCGACTCGAGTGCCCTTGCCACCAAATATTTGCCAAGATTGTTTGCCCCAAAGCGTGGCACAGGCAGAGGCAGAGGCGGAGGCGGAGGCAGAGACAGAGGCAAGCCAAAAATCAGAACAGAGCGATGCACATTTTGTCCACTTATCAGAAAATGTCGGCAACGCTGCTCACCCACACCCACACCCTCCACCCAGACCCTCCACCCACTCCTCTCCTGGTTCCGCTTAAGTGTATTTTCGTCCTTGCTGAAATTTATGTGCCACTTGCCGTTAAGTGAAAACTGCATTTGGTGGATGGCTGTGCCGCAGCTGCAGTCATTCCCCTGTCCCTTATCCTGTGACCAAATCCACGTACGTTTCCCTGTGCAGTTTTATGCTCAGTTGGCATTGAGCCGGAACCCAACTGGAAGCCATCATCCTACCTCCACACTCGAGTAACCTGCATTTCATTGAGTGCTAGTCGGAGGCTATAATAAAAAGTGCTCCGTGGGGGGTCGGGGGGTCTCTTAAAGTGTGATTTATGTGGATGCAGTCGCAGTCGCAGTGCCTCGTTTTGTTGCATTGTAATTGGTAGCGTGGTGGAAACGTAAACCTCCACCAAAGCTCTGCCCCTCCACTTCTTTAAGTAGAGTCCCACAGAGACTCGACCTTCTGCCTCTACTTCTACTCTAAGGGCACTCAACCATTTGACTTGGCCTTGGTGTGGTCAGCGACTAGCCGTCACGCCATCGAGAATCATTTGAAACATCTTCCAGCTGATGAGATCAAATCTCTTTGAATGACAATCAGAGCTTCCCAACAACAGTTCTCTCTTTGATCTTCGCTCAACAATTGACTCTTTGCCGCTCTCTGCGCCAAGTGCCTCTTTGTTGATCGCTCTCTGCGCTTCTCAAAAACATTACCTCGTTAATTGACTCTTCGAACGACTCTCCGACGACTTCATCTAAGCGAATGTCTCTCAGGTCTGAATCTGCACGGTACCCAGCCCGAAAAAAAAGAGACTCCGCTTCACATGCAGTCACAGCCTCACAGTCACTGTTGCATAATACTTCCTCTGGAGATAATTTGGGTGTGGAGTCCACAAGACAAACAAAATGTCTGTTAAAAATGCAAAAAGAAATACAAAATAAAGCTCAAAGAAAAAAATAAAATAAAATAAAAGCTTAGATACAACAAAGAGACGAGGCAGGTTGCAAGTGGCAAACAGAAATAGCTGATAGTTGAAAATGCCAACAACATCCGGCGGCGGTGGATGGAAGATGAATGGATGGAATGGATGGCTGGGAGCCAACTCGATGAGCCACTTGAACGTGGCACAATGGAGGAGTCCCAGTCTCTGTTGCAAATGCAATATTTTGCCAGGCATTTGTGGCATTATTTCTGCTCAATTATGCTGCATTTTCAGCCATCGAAATAGAAATGGTTATTGCAATCGAATCGAACTAAGCTGAACGGAAGGGAAGAGAAAAGAAAGCTGAAGTGGCATGAAGCAGCTGGAAGCAACCCACTCCAACGCACTCCCCTCAGCCACTTGACAGACAAAACTTCCTTATTTCCCCAAGGCTGTTCTCTTGCTGTTCGATGGCTTATAAATGCCGTCCAGCAGATCCCGGCTGGGACTGGGAACAAGTTTGGGCCCAGCATGACCCAACCGAAGCGTCCATGGCAGGGCCCTAAAAAGGGAAACAAACATGTTTCTCGGCAAACAAACCAAATAAACCGAAACCGAAACCAGCGAAAACCGCAGCCGAAAGAGGCTCTGGAACTGGCTCTTCTTTTCATTTCTTATCTCTTATTTTATTTTTGTATTTTTTGTGTGCGCGGCATCTTCCTGTCGCCTGCTGACAGACGTCACGCATGCGCAGACTGGCCAGAACGAGCGGGAGAGAAGGGTGTCCCGACTTGGACCTGGACCACAGGGAACGTGTTCTCGGCTTGGCAACAAAACACAGAACAGAACAGAAAAGTTGTACCACAAAAAAAAAACACAGCTGAAGAAGCCGACGATCGAGAGGGAGGGAGAGGATCGGTTGGAGGAGTACGAAGCCAACACGATTTCCTGATTCATTCATGAATTTCATGACTTTTGTTTTGTGTCCTTCTGCTGCGAACCCCCATACCCCCAATGCCCCCATACCCATTCCTCATTCCTTATTCCCGATCTACAGACTGAAAAGTCGTGCCTGTTGCTAGGCGATCGTAAAATTTTATTACAGCAAGATTTACTTGAAGGATGCTTCTTGGTGTGCTCCAAAGGGCTCCAAAGCTTTGTTTTTTGCCTTTCGGTATTTTTATAGGTCTGCCTTTTGCCCAGGGGGGGGGAGGTCTCCATTCCAGGAACACACTGAAAGTCTCATCTCTGAGTCACATTTCTGGGATGGGATTCATTTCTGGCCCGAAATCAGAGTTCTGTGGAGTCAGCAATTCGTTTTCAATAAACTACTTAAGTATTTCCATCAGCCTCGAGACGATGCGAGTGACAAACAAATTGCATGTAAAATAATGCGATTTCTCTTATCCAGCAGACAAAATGATTACACAGCAGAAGAGGGACAGAATAAAGAAACCAACAGAGCAGCAGATCAACAAACCAACAGTTCAGCAGACCAGCAGCAGAAAGATAGATCAGATCAGATCAGATAGAGCTGGATATTCAAGCATTCAATTAAAAGTAAATACAGATTTCAATTAGCTTAGAGTCGAAGTCCACTTGAGGTCCAAACAGAAGACAGCAGCAGCCGCAGCAGCAGTAGCAGACCATGCTCCTGGTCTCCACTTTCCAGACTGCCTGAATTGCAGATTTATGAATATGCAAATAGACTGAAGTTGACTAATCTGACAGCCCTCCCTGCCGAGTCAGAGTCAGAGATGATAAATTCCGCGTTATCGCATCGGATTGCCAGGAACTCGAAGCTGTCTGGTGGCTGGGACTCGCTGTACGCGATTCGCGACTCATTAGCGTGGATGTCAACGACTCAAGTGGGCAAATAGGAGGAGCAGCAGCAGTTGGAGCAGGCAATCTTCCAGACGTCAGTTGGTCTGCAAATGTGGAGCAGTTTCTGCGTAGGCTGCAATCGGTTGCGGTTGCCGTAGCCGTTGCCGTAGCCCCTCTGCCTGCCAGTCCAAGTCCAACTTTGCGCTTAATTATGCAATTAACAAGGCACTGGGGATTGGGTTTGACATGTGACCAGTTGATGGCTTTGCCAAGTCAATTTAACGCTTAACTAACTATTTAAAAGCTAACTCATGCGCGGACCGCAGTGTGGCGGCATGGGGCATGTGGCATGTGGCATGGGGCAGGGCAATGCAACACCCACTCCCACACACACACACACGAGCACATAAAGTCTATGCAACATCTTCGTTACTTGCGGCTGGCGGCTTTTTCAGTTCGATTTATGCATATTTAATGGTACCCCTCCAAGCCACCAAACCCCAAACCCAAAACAGAAAACAGAAAACGCCTACAACAGCACTGGCAGAACCCAACTCGAGGCCCGAAACATGTGGCAAATGTCACTTAAGTGGGTTGGACAGGCGACGGATGAGGGCTAGGAGAGGCGAGACGAGGCGAGGCGAGGGAGGGTCCCCTACTTTGTGGCAGAGCCAATTTGCGTTTTGCTCACTCAACTCGCCTCAACCGAGTGAAACCTGAACATGTTGTGACAGTTCCTGTAATGGACTTGAAATATTTAAGTTCCCTTTTGGGCCAACACTCGAGAAAGTTCAGTTTTCAGAGCAGTTTTCGTGGTGGGGCGGCAACTGTGACTGTGTGCATGATAAATTGTGTGGAATATCATTAAAAAAATGTTTATATATGTATTTCCGCCAGTCGTAAGTCCATTTGACAAACTCATAAAACTCTGCCCCTCAATCCCCTTAAAAGCAACTGTCAAACCAATTAAATTCATTCAAACTACAGAGGGGAAAACAGATGAAAAATTGTATAAAAATATAAAAGATTAATATGTTTCTTTTAATGAAATACAATAGTCCGGGGGGCAGACACGTTCCGATGTCGATCTACCCAACGCAGATCAATTGATCGACTGTATCCCATAGGAGTACTTTTACTCTCCTGGAAAAAAGGATCTGGAATAAAGGGAATATTTGTGGAGCAATCAAACACCTTCTTCACGTCATAATACCCCTTGGCAAGGGTATAAATAAGTAATCCAAACACTTCTTTAAACACATAATATAATATGCTGCAGAGCAGAGCAGAGCAAAGCGGCCAATTTGTAAATAGAAATAAAACACCAAGTGTCGGGCGAGAGTCCGTGGCGGAACAGAACTCATTCAAATCGTGTTCCGCCGTCGGATCTGACAACTCAACAATAAATTTAAATGGCAACAAATTGTTTGTGGGAATGGCTTTCAATAAATCTTGTGGCTTGGTTTTTTTTTTTGTCAGAATTATAACAAGGAGAGTGACCTGAGAGAGTCGCCGAGATTTCAGTTTAGCTGTTATTTCCCCTTAATTTATGGCCAATTCCCAGGCAGAGGCCAATGACCAGGGGTTCCATAAGAAGACTTCATTCAGTCCGAGTTTTACGAGTATTTCACAGACTTCAATTGCACTGCCAAATGGAAATTTATTCGTTCTTAATCAACCCAACAAACAGAGCCACAAAAAACGAACTTTTTTTTTAAATATTTTGTACTTGTCTTTGGTAATTTGTTTTACAGATTTTTAGTTAATTTATTTTGCAGCTGCTGGCGGAATTTCGCAAAAGCAATTCATAAAAAAACTATAAGGAAAAAAAAACAAGAATTTGTGCAATTAACTCAATTACAAGTTATGGCCAAGAAGGCCTGCCCCCAGCCCCTCCAAACGAGTCGTCGCATTTGCTTATTCCAAATTGCAAGTAAAAGGTTAAAAGTGAGGTTCCCCCAGTGGCAATAGAGTACTCCTTCCCCCCAGTATTCTCTCTGCAATTGCCCTAATAAAGCAATTACCCCGGGGAGTCTACTTTAATCATAAACAAAGCCCCCCCTACCCATTCCCATTCGGCTGTTTAGTTCTTGTTCCTGTTGTTATGCCATAAACAAATCAAATCAAATTGTGACCCACTTGGCGATGGAAATAATGGAAATGCAACGGCCACACACTGCTGGCAGAAAGAGTACTTGCGGCAACAAAAAGTGTCCTCAACTGGAGTGGTATACTGTTCTACTCTGTTCTGCAAAGAACTTCCTTCTGGCTTGGTTGCCTGACATTTACATATCATTTTTAGCCCTGCCAAATGGGACAAGTGTAAGGGGGAGGCCTTTAGAGGTAATACCACATTTCCATATTCAGTTCAGTTCCATGGAAATCGATTTTCGCCACAATCGGCACTTTCTTATCGTAGATATATATGGAATCTAAAGCCCTCATATCACAAATTACGAGCCCCTCAACGCGTATTTCATTGAAAAGTGGTTCCCCCCTAGGGGCTCTGTTCAAACTGAAAGTTCAACTTTTCTGCCCAGAAGTAAAACCATTGCCGTAGTTTTTCAGAGTTTTCTCAAGGTCTGGCCCCTTAGCAGACAGCAGACAACAGGCAGGGAATCCAATCCAAAGTTGTGACCGAGACCGAAAATAGAAATTCTAGTGAAAATGTTAAACATTCTGTTGACATATCAGAGGAGTGCTGTTGTCGTCATTCAATTTGGTCGCATCTGAAAATACTCGCACAACACACAATTAAGTGCTGCCTCCAGACTGTCTGAAATTTTGAAATTTGCACGGCGATGACACACAAGAAAAGTATCATAATTAAATTAATATTAACAAATGCAAACAAGCAAACAAAAACAGAGAGAAGAAGAATAAAACCTGCTTGCCTTGGACTAAATGGTGGACAGTGGTCAAAAACACACACACGAAATATGAAATCTGATGTGTGGCTGCTGCTGCTGCTGTGGGCAGGCGGCTATAAATCATAAACCGACAACTGGGCGTGGACGTGGGGGCATGGCTTGGTTTTCAAAGGAATTTCTGTCTGCCACACGATCGCTTTTCAAGAATGTGAATCATTAACAGAACCCCAAAAAGCACCACAGAGCACCAGAGAGCAGGGGCTAAAAGTGAAGTGAAGCCCAAAAGCCCAAAGGCTGCAGACAATGGCGATCCCAGGACTGAGGTTCGTTTTGGAGGCTCAGTTTTCAGCGCCGGGCGTCAAACGGAAGCCGCATTAGTTGCACAAACACACAAGCCCAGCACACACTCTGCCACAGATACACTGGGTACGTTGTACGTATGAAAGGTGCTCTTCTCAGAGACCTGCTATATAAATACGTATATATGAGTATGGATGTACAGGGATCAGGTTATAGCCAGGCAAACACAAGGCCACAGCTTTTGAGGGACACGAGCACGAGCCCTGCTCTGACAGCAAACAAAAAAAGGCATTGGGCAAGGCACTTTGATTTCGAATGAATTTATCAGGTTACTGCGGCACTTTCCACAGCAGAGGAATGCAGAATAAGGTTTGATCTTGGCAGGTATAGACGATTATATTGTTTGTTTCCCTGTTCTAATGATTCATTCGATTACTCATGGAATTGTTTGTGTTGGTTCAGACACAAGGGAATGCATTTTTCTTGAAGCTTTCTTGAAGCATACACTTTCCTGTTGTTCTCATTTATCAGATTTATCAGATTTATTTCCATAACTCAGAGTTGTGGAATTTCTATATTTCAGAAGGCATGAAGTGCCAATCAATACACTGGCATTGAATAAGGGATCTTGATTACAAATAAATTCATTCCATTACTAATAGACTTTCCATGAATTTTGCCATAATTCTCCATAGTTCAATTTAAATATACATATTTATTCTGTATTTTCGTATTCTTCCAATTCTGTTGCCATTGTAAAAATACAATATTTTTATTTGGCATTATTTTGAAAGTTCAAAGAACAAACATTTATATTTTGACAATTTGCCAAAAAAAATCAACGAAAATTAATTGCAACCTTGCCGCCTCGCCTGCCTCTGCCCGTCAGAAGACACGCCTCGTTGCAGCACACAATTTTATTATTACATGTTCTGTGTGCTCATAAAATGTTACAATTAACGTAATTATTACACTTACAATCCAACAGTCGGAAATCAGCGAAATTTGTTTCACTGAAATTTCCGCTATAAAAAAGAGCTGCAGCTGCATGGCTGCATAGCTGCATTTTCCTCCCAGATTGCTGTTTGTGTGGCTATTAAGACGTTGCAAGTGTCAACGTAAATCATTCCGAATGTCAAAACTTGCGACAGCGCCAAAAAATTGGCAAAGCCCGCAGAAATGTGGATTTATAAATAGAAAACTCAAATTAAATGAACTTTACTGTGAACCTACATACATATACATATATATACATATATGGTTAGTAGTATTAATACGCGCCGTCCAAGATTCAATATTGCTTTTCCTTAATAAAAGGTGGAGATATACATAGGTATGTGCAATGTCTGGGGATACCTTAGCACTCGATGCTTTGGATGTTGCAGGTGATACAACAGCCGAAATAGCTCAGTTGGGAGAGCGTTAGACTGAAGATCTAAAGGTCCCCGGTTCAATCCCGGGTTTCGGCAAGACTCCTCTTTTTTTCCTCACAAAAATTTACTTTTTATACAGATAACATTTTAAGAGCTCTATAATCATCATAATTATATACTGATACAAATACTATTGCCTATCTCTTATATAGTAAGTAAATCCAATTTTGTTTTTTGGAATATAATTTTGCTTTTTTGATTATTTTAAGCATTTAATTTAATTTTAGCTTTCTTAGATTTCGTATAATTTCCCTTTGAAATTCGCCATATTTTCGTCCTGCCTCGAGGATGTTTCCGTGGTGTAGTGGTTATCACGTTCCCATCTCCAAAATGGAACATGAAAATGTAAATGCAGATTATTCTAAAAAAAAAAGAGAAAAACAATTTCCTTGCCGGGAATCGAACCCGGGTCGCCCGCGTCAGGGTCGGTTAGAAAACCACTAGGACAATAATTCCATAGACTGAGATTTTTGGAAATTGAAAGATCGCGGGCGACTTGAAATTGAAAGACGCGGGAGACTCAGATTTTTGGAAATTGAAAGACGCAGTAGACTCAGATTTTTGGAAATTGAAAGACGCGGGAGACTCAGATTTTTAAATTTAAAACGAGGTATTGAAATGAAAGATCCTAATTCACAGTGGAAATTGAAAGAATGTACATAATAAATTTCATCATTGACCCCACGGAGTGAGAGCCGGATGGGAAACCATTAGGCCAAGGATTCCATAGACTGAGATTTTTGGAAATTGAAAGATCGCGAGCTGCTAACGTGCCTAACACGCGGAAGGCCCCCGGTTCAATCCCGGGCGGAAACATAGAGAAAATCTTTTTTACTTTCTTCGAATATTTATTATTACTTTTTATATTTAGAAAATGATTCACGTTCATCAGCAAATAAGTCATGTTTGGCTTGGCAACAAGCCCACAAGATTTGTTTATATTTTGATTGATGGAAATGATTTTCGTGTCAATTCTCAGTTTCGATTCCCATTAAACAAAATTTGTGTTTAGCTGCTAGCATGCCCAGAGCATCCGGTAGGCCTCTGCCTCTCACGTACCTCCATCACTGGAAGAAAGTGCTGTGGGTATCCCTAAGATGCGTATATTTCTTTCTGCTGGTCAAGTGCTTCGAGAAGGGTCTGCAAATGAATGTACAGAGGCGTATGGCCAGCAGACTGCAGCAGGAGATTGGCAATGGCTAATCCATCTATATAATTGCGGATATACGAGGCAAAGGCTTAGGAAATAGCAGCGGCAGCAGCAGCATCAGCAGCATCAGCATATGGTTTATTTTGACAAAGAATAAATGACAGTCCGGGAATGTGTCTTGTGTCTATTCCCTGCTTAAATACATTTTTATTAGCCCAGAGATTCGCGTCCCGCTTGACGGGTGCTGTCTGTCGGCCAGAGTAATTAGGCTCCATTAGTTGGCACAGCAGACAGCAGACACAGCACACAGCATCTCTCCTGAAGGCAAAGGCAAAGTGCTCTCATGTGCTCATGTGCCATGTGCCATTTGCCATGTGCCCATTGCCATCTCCATCTCCATCTATATATCCATTTCTATCTGCATCTACTCTTGCAGCCATACAGAGATATCTCTGTATCCCATATGTTGGTGGCGTTCATAATTTGTGCGCCATTAGACAACTTTATGCATAAACTCATTAAAATGTACTTGAATCTCTCAGAAATGGAAATGGAAATGAAGATTGAGGCTGGAACTGGAACTGGCGTCGCATTTGGCTAATTTGTCGAGGAGCAGCGACAAATGACAAGAAACAGTCTGCTCTGCCCGTCTGTCTGCTCGTCTGTCTGTCTGTCTGTCTGTCGTCTCTTATTCTCCAGCACCCAGTCCGCACTCTAACCACTCGCCACTCTGCAATCCCAGTGCCCGTCCCAATAGACAGAGCGACATGTGTGCGATTTGACAGTTTGAGGCGCAACAAGATAGATTGGCCCATGCAGATGCTTAGCCCATGCAGATGGGTTGGCTGGCTGGCTGGCTGATGGTATGCCATGGACTGGATGTAGCAGTGGATGGAAATGGCAATGTCAGTTCAGACATTACGCAATTTGAGACAACTCAAGCAAAAGCAAACACTTGAGTGCTGCCCCGTCTCCGTGGAATAATTATGAAGATGATGTTGCTGCTGCCTGGTGCCTTCACTGTTGCTGCAACACACAATAAAGAAGCTAGACAGGCGCTATGTCGCACACCACTTGCTGCTGGGAGTTGGCCAGCAGCAGAAGCAAAGCTTTGGGTCAGGTCAGGATTTAACCAAAAAATAACAAAGAATTATCGCACCCGTTCTCCTATGCATAGGGAATTAAAAGGTTGCATAATAGATTAATCACACTTAAAATATAGTTATAGAAAATGATAGCCCAGAAGTTTGGCAATTAATTAATCATAATAATGTTATAACATTCGGGAAACTCTCTTATCTGGGGAAGGCCTAGTAGCAGACATGTCAGATGCCGATGGAGATTATAAATAATAATTTACAGCATAGAAAGGGCCACCGAAAAAAGAACCCTGTTGCTGATTGACCATGAATCAGTGGCCAGGTACGAGTATATGCGACCTAATCAAATTAACTGGAATCAAATAAAATCAGTGGAAGACACATGTACGATATCTATAAGCTGATTACAATGGCCATTATCTTTCGCACACATTATCTATAATGGTAGCTAGATACCCGGTATCGGAATGGTTCGCCTTTAAATGCCTTTAAATGCGTAAAAGCTACCGAAAGCGAGTCCCAGTTTCGAACGAACCCCCGAACGAGAAGTTTCCCGTGCTCCGCTTTTTGGTTACCCGTGGAAAGTGAGCGGTATGACGATCATATATGCAGCAACGGCAGCCGACGGCAAATCGGAAACCATCTTTGTCCCATCTGCCCCATGCGGCACCACAGGATGTGCACCCCAGCCCTATCCACAGCCCTATCCACAGACACAGCCACAGCCGCAGCCAGCTCCAGCGGTGACTGTGACTGTTACACAGACGCGATTCCTGCAGAATTCAAACCGGAGATCGGTTGCGTCTACAGCCAGTGAGTCACTCACACAGAAATATCCATAATCGATCAATGCAAATCGAATGATTTTGGTTAACTTCTTCGATTGCCTTTCAGTTTTCTGGTTTCTGGCATACGGAGGCATGGACTTGGCCCAAAGTGTGGGCTGGAATCAGCCCGCTAGCGTTATTATCCTGACGCCCGAATACCAATACAGTTGGTTTATCGGTGTCATCATTGGAGCCTGTGTGGCTGCTCTCACAATGACATTCCTGCCAAAGATCGCGTATTATGTGAGTAGTCCACAATCTACTGGGATCGGATCTCCTCTGACATTCCCAATCTCCTGCAGCTCCTGGGTGGCATTATGCAGCTGACGGGCGGTATTATCTTCACCAGTGCCCCCTACGAGTACACAGCTCTCCTGGCCGCCCGCTATGTGGGCGGAGTGGGCATCGGCCTGATCACAGTGCCCTTCCTCATCCACGTCGCCGAGATATCCACGCAGACACGCGGCGTTGACTCGGCGATGGAACAGGTCGGTTTGGCGATTGGTATCTGCATCCAAGTGACCTACGACACGGAATGGACGCTGGACTTGGATGTATCCACGAACCTGGCCCACGGCATTGGTGGGATTATATTCTCAGTGATTGGCTTGTTGACTACCCTGTTATCCGTGGAGTCGCCCATCTTTTATATACGCCGCAACCAGGAGGAGAAGGCGCGCCAGTGCCAGCAAATGCTCGTGGGCGCCAACCTTCCAAAGACTGCCAACGAGCTCTTCGAGGAGGCCAGGCTCTATGTGGTGGAGAGTGAGAGCAGGAGCCTCGGCGAGGAGCTGTCCGCTTCCGTGATTCCCTTCTGCAAACTCTTCTTTTTCCGGTGCTTCGTGGCGTTCACCATCTCCCTGCCCCTGACATGGTCCATCGTGGCGAGCACGGCCGTCTCTGAGGGCAGCATCAACGCCTGGCCTCTGTATGTGTGGAGCACGCTGCGTTTCATCAGCACCCTCGTCGCCATCAGCACCCTGGACTTGCTGGGACGCAAGAGCGTCTCTATGTTTGGTCTAGCCGTCATAGCCGGTCTGATGATTGGCATGGGTGGAATATATGCCGACCCGACCACCATCTACGACTGGGAGTCCATGGGGCAGGTGTGCAACGTGTCACTGGCCTTCCAGGCATTTGCCGGACTCTTCATCTGCAGCTCCAGCCCCTATCTGGGCGAGGCGTTTCCCATGCGAGTCAAACCGTTCTTGGTTGGCCTGATCGTGGCCTGCGAGCAGGTGGTCCACATCATTGTAATAGCCGCCTTCAAGCCCACATCGGAGTACCTCTACCAGTACTTCCTGAGCGTGGGAATTATCATGCTGCTGGGCGTGGTATTCTTTTCTATCGTCATGCCGGAGACGAAGAAACTGTCGCTGCGAAAGGCTGGCGAGCGGTTACAGAGAGTAAATAATATTACCTCCTACTAGACCTACGAATCGTTCGATCGATGGAAGATCAATGTTGAATAAACTATTAATTCAAGAATTCTACAAGTTCTAAGAAGTTTAATTAAATATTAATAAATACTTATTAAACGAGAAGGAACGTGTGAGTCGTTTCTGGGGACACGACTCTACTTATACCCGTACTCAGTCAGAATATACATTTTTGAGCTTATGATTTTTAAGAATTTTAGAAAAAAAAAAAATTTTACATGTTACATTTTTTTGCTACATATGATATCTACATCTACATATACAATGTATATTCTACATCTAACATGTAGATTGTACATGTTCCATTCATATTCTACATCTCCTCCGCTAGGGGTTGCTCGCGCACTGAACGCGGCAGAGTGTGCGAGCGAGAAGGAAAATGAGTTTCGTTGTCGTTTGTGGGAGGGGGGGCAGGGGAAGCAACTGAAAATTTCGTCATTCTGGCTATAATTATGATCCGATCTAATTCAGATTTGGCAATCTGGTAGATATGGGCATTCTCTACGATACTGCGTTTTTACTGCGTATCTTTAAAATTGTGCCTGCCACAGATTTGCGTCCTTTGTGGGGGCGGAAGGAGGCGGGGCGAAATTCTGAAATACACTTGTAGCAGTGTGATATCACATAAGTCTGGAAAACAAATTTGGTTTCGCTAGCTCTTATAGTCTCTGAGATCCAGGCGCTCATCGAGACGGACAGACGGACGGACAGACAGACATGGCTATATCGACTCGGCTATTGATGCTGATCAAGAATATATACACTTTATGGGGTCGGAAACGTTTCCTTCTCTGCGTTACACACATCCACTTTTACCACAAATCTAATATACCCCTTAACTCTTTTTTGAGTACGGGTATAAAAATACTTATTTTCATTTAAAATGGCTTAAAAAAAAAAAGCAGTTTTTCCCTTTGATTTCAAAATTAATATTTTAAAATTAAGTCATAATAATATTCGGTATAAATAGAAAACATATTAAACTACAAAATTGAATACATTATATTTATTTTAAAGTTGGTTTGTATTTAAAATAGATTATATATGTATGCCGTATTAAAAAAGCCTTTTTAATACATTTATATTTTAATTCTGTTTAATTTGACTATGTTTGTAAATAACAAAATAAAAAGTAACATATTAAATTAGTAGTTATTTTTACTATGCCATTTTTTATTAGTGTGCAAGCCATATAAACAACAGAATTAAGAAACGGCTAATTGTTTGAAAGTGGAATATTTAGATCGGCCTTAGGGTTTCACATTCCCTAAATATACTCGTTGGGAATACTGGAAATTAACAGTTATTCCATTTAATCGAGCGTTTAATATTTTGGAACAAATTTCAAATAATTGCCATTTAAATAAGGCTTTGAACGTAAGGTAAGCGCAGGCGTACAAACAAATCAAAAGTAATACATACATATATGACTCAACATTTTTAATAACTTTAATAACTTCAATATTTTCCAACTTTACCATACGACTATACTAGCAATAACATCTGCATCTGAATACTTAATCTTCTCGAACTGAGGCTTGGTTGACTCTCTGTAGATAAAAGGTACATATATAGATGTATTCGGTATCGTTCGGTGACTATAATGTGCATAGTCCATAATAACATACACATACAAATATATACAGAAATTCATTGCTCACTTAAAAATTTCGCAACAGCTAGTTGAAAAGACTTACTGGCTTAACGCTAATCATATTTTAATGAGTTATAGCATATTTCTCAGCATAGCTCTATCTTTTGACTGCGATTTATACGAATGGAACTTTGTGCATATCGAAAGTTCAGTCATCCTCCTGGGGCTTGAGCCTAGGCTTTCCCAGAGACCCACTCCGTTGGGGGTACCCCCATAGTACGCACACTATGTATCACCCCAGTGCCAGTTGAACTTTGGCCGAACTGGAACGATCAATTTAGCCAAAACTGCTAGGACACCAGCCGGGCAGTGAGTGAGTGAGTCAGTCGTATCTTGGCCACAAGCTACCAGCCTTTATAGCGACTCATCTAGGCTTATTTTGTTAGTGAATCACGGCCGTAGAGTAGTAGCAGGAGGAGTGTACGATACGCGTGTATCTAGCAGCTGATAAAATACTACGAATATATCAATTATCTCTTGGTCAGATATCTATTCTGCTGATAGCATTTACTTGCAGCTCGAGTAAAATAAAATTATAAATACGCGCACCAGTGCGTCCATAGCCACCAGATCAAACGAATCGAACGGGTCTTGAAGTTGAAATTATATTTGCAGACACATTTTGTCTTATATAACTAGGGAACATGTCGACCACGACGTATGTGACCTCGGGGCCGGTCTCTGTCCAGCAGACGAGCTATGTCTCTGGGCAACAAACGCAGACCACGTACATCACCACAGGACGGGCTCCGCCGCCACCGCCGCCCACCGTCAATGTGGTGGTCGTCAATCAGGGGGGTCGCTGGAGCAAGACGGCAACGAAAACCGGAACAGCAGGTGAGCCAGCAGAGAGAGCAGCTTAAGAAAGCGCCAAAAGTTCTTGGGGAAGTTCTCAGGGTTACGACCCAGACCCATAACCGAACAAATACGAGTATCACAGTGTTTATCAGTGCTTTATCATATGAACCTTATCATAATCGATAGCTGGAATGTACACATAAGAGTATTATTATATTTAAAAGAACCCCTCCCCCCGCCTTCTTTTGATAAAAGTGAACACCAAAATTTGGAAGAGAACTCAATAAACAAGAATCCCTTTGTTCCAATTCGATCTATGGCTGAATTGGCACACCAGCGATCAGGCGCGAGACTTTGCATGAATCCAAGATAATGGATAGATAATCTCCTTTTTTTGGCGGTGAATTAAGCTAAGCTCAGTCTATGTTCGATTCCATATCGATCTCAAGTTCCACTATAAAATGTTAGCCATGCCGAAACACTTCCAAACGTCTGGGTGATGCTTTAGGGGTCTTCCCACCAGATCTCTAAAGACCCCTTGGAACTTTCTTCTGTAGAGTAATGTAGAACTTAGAACTGAATTGCTGCCACGTTTGTTGGCTGAGTTCTACAGAAGCAAAGCTCGACATAGAACATCCGAATGGATTCCATTTGAAAGAGCACTGAGAACATACTCGTAATTGATGGAACAGATCTATCCGCAAGCCAGCTAATCCCGACCCACCTATCCACCATTTAGCCACCTTTGCATTCGTGTATGCGGGACTGGACATGGCCCAGGGTCTTGGCTGGAATCTGAACGCCAATGTTGCGACCACCCTGGAGTTTCAGTACAGTTGGTTCATCGGATTCATCATTGGAGCTGTTGTCTCCGCCGTGGCTGTCTCATTTCTCCCCAAAGTGATCTTCTATGTGAGTAAACAGATGGGAGATGTTGTCGTGTCACTCTAATGCCTGATTTCCACAGGGTCTGGGCAGTATTATGAACCTGATCGATGCCATTATCTTTGTGAGTGCTCCGTACGAGTACGAGTCCATTCTGGCCGCCCGCTACGTGGGCGGCGTGGGCATTGGCCTGATCACGGTTCCCTTCATCATCCACAGTGCGGAAATCTCCCCAAGCAATTGCCGCGGCACCTGCTCCGCCTTGGAGCAGTACGGCCTCAGCCTGGGCATCGCCATTCAGGTGATCTACGACTCGCAGTGGGCGGGCGACCTTGGCATGGCCGTCAATCGGGTGCACGGCATCTTTGGCATTGTGTTCTCCGCCTTTGCCTTGGGCAGTGTGGCCATGGCGATCGAGTCGCCCATCTTCTACATACGTCAGAACCAGGAGGATAGGGCGCGGGCCAGTATCCGGCGACTGATGGACAGCTGGTGGACCGTCGAGAGGGGCAATCAGGCGTACGAGGAGGCCAAACTGTATGTCGTAGAGGGCACCAGCCAGAACGTCGGCGAGCAGGTGGCCGAATCCGCAATGCCCTTCATCAAGATGCTCTTCTTCCGGTGCTTTGTGGCCTTCGCCATCTCGCTGCCACTCTCCCGTTCAATAGAGACGAGCAGCTTCGAGTTCGAGGGCACCGCCTACGCCTGGCCGAGCATCGTGTTTGGCGCAATCCGCCTGCTTGGGTCCCTCATCACGATGGCCGTTCTGGACACCGTAGGCCGCAAGTTCATCTCGCTGCTGGGACTCATGTGCATGGCTGGCCTGATGCTGGGCATGGCCGGCGTCTATGGCGACTACGTGAACGTCCTGAGTCCCTACTACATGCGGCAGGTGAGCAATCTGGGCATTGCCTTCCAGTTCTTTGCGGGCATCTATGTATGCAGCTCGTCGGCCTATCTGGGCGAGGCGTTTCCTCTGCGAGTGAAGCCCTTCCTGGTTGGCCTGATCGTCTGCATGGAGCAGGTGATCCACATCATTGTGATTGCCACATTCACCTCCGTCACGGCCGAGTCCTTCTACGAGTATTTTGTGATAGTCGGCATTATCCTGGTCGTGGGATTGGTGGTCTTTGCCATCCTGATGCCGGAGACGCGCGGCACGTCGCTGCGGAAGGCTGGCGAGCGCTTCCGACGAGTGCATGACGTCATGGCCTACTAGTACTAGTTGTACCCACTAGTATCACTTAAATTCAATAAATTCAAGTCGCCCCGAAACAGTTGACAATGTTCCTTATCTATTTTGTTGGTGTGTGGCGGGGGGAGTGGAACACATTACTCATACGCCCCGTCGACTTCCGCATGGCCTGGAAAGAAACGCAAAAATTCACAGCAGTCTCCCATTCGATCCTGCCCCCAGCCAGCGCCTAGTGGCAGCTGCATTCAGACTTCTCTTTGGACTTTTCTTTTTATGAATATTTATGCCTTCTCAAATGTTTAATGCGGTTAATTTTCCCACTCCCTGCCACTGGAGACTATTTTTATAGGCCTGCCGCTGGTCGCCTCGCCGCAGTTTATTTTGAACTTTATTATGAGCTAATTTATGTGTGTACATATGTGGCTGGATCATCGCAGGCTGGCGCACACTTCCCCTCGATCCCTGAAATCCCACCACATCGTATACCATACAGCGCACCATACAGCATCCCATACAGCGTATATTATAAGATGCAGATCCCCTGGTTTGGTTTTTGTTCCATTTTTGACACTTTGATGGCGCTTTTGTGATGCTCTGCTCACATGTTTGCTTAGCTTCTTGCCAACTGTTTACGAGTATGCGTCTTTAATGCGCTTTTATGGATCAAATTGGGCCCCATGCCCAATTGAGCGTAGTTTCCTGATGGCAAGCCGCAACAGCTGCACATTTATTCGGGGAGTGCTCTATGTGAAGTTTCTGGCCTCTGGCAGTGCACTCGATGTGGATTTACAGAGAGAAGATTTAATTTATGGCAATTCTCATAGATTAAACAGCAATAAACTCTCAGAGGGACCTCTCAAAGGCCCTTAAATTAAACTGGAAAGGTAAGAGTAGGTAGAACCGACTCCAAATCCAATATATTTTCTTGCCGCTTTCTTACTTTCATCCCAACTACTCCTACATGATTAGATATAATTGCCTAAGCAACATACATTGCGTGTGCATGACGTGGCATTAGGTTTTATTTTTTGGTTGTATGTTGTTGAACTACTTTCAATTTCTAAAAGGCTGCCCACCGCCTGCTTCAGAGACCTAAGTACTTATAAAGCATTCATCCAACAACTGAAGTTTGGCAACCTTTCCACACAATAGAAACGAAAGCCCAGCACTTATACTCGTATCTTTCGATTCCCTTCCCTTGCAAGTGCCCCAACAAAGGCCCATTGAGACAACAATAAAGCGAATTATATGAATTACAATTGAAATTACATCTTACATGCTCGCAAGAGTGACACATCGACAAGAGCAGGCGAAGCAGAGGGAGCAGCGGGGAAGGAAAGATTGGGTAGGACGGAGCGCCATTACAGAGCGCAAAAATGCGCATAAAAATTGCATTAAAATGCCATCCAAGATGTGGGGGCCTAATAAAGGAATGGCTATAAAGGACAATTGCCAGTGGCCACAGCATCCAAGAGTAACAATTCGATCCGTTCGATGCGATGGCTGGGAAAAAGCTGGCAAATGCCCTTAAATAGACGAAGCTGGCCAAGATGGGGCCCGGGACACAATCTGGCGGCCCAATCGCAGCGACAGGCCGTCAAATGCGTGCAAAAATGTTGCCACATTTCTCGAGTGGCTTTCCCCCAACATCTCTGGAGTTCTCTGTGTGGCTCTGGCTCTGTGGCGCAATTTCCCAGGCAACAAAGTGAATTAAATGCAGACGCGTGATTTTGCACATTAATTAAGAGCAGGCTCCAGCCAGTGGGCTCCTCGCCCGATGATATCGCCGTCCATTTCTTCGAGAGGTGAGAGTTCAGTCCGCAGGCATGCAGTGCATTCAATTGCCTCGGATCTGGGGATTCAGGTGGAACTCAGGCAAGCGGAATGCACTGAATGGATAAAGGGAGCTGTGTGCAAAGGAAAATACTTTTCATATACACTCGTATCCGTACTCTTCGTTAATTACTTTCGTGAAAGAAAATTGCGAAATTGCTTTTAAGGGAGCGCCCAAATGTATGCAGTGTATTTAAGTGCAGAAAGCAAAAGGGTTAAATTTTATTGAAATTTCTTAATAAGAAACTTTAAGTTTTTACTATGATTATTCATAAGAACTCCAAAGCCAGGCTACAGGCACCTCCACTTACATTCTGTTTTGTATTCTGAACCCTTATCCTCCGAGGGATTTCCATTACTTTTCCGCAGCTACTTTGATTTAAGAGAGAGAAAACTCACCTTCGTTTACAAAATCTTTGACTTCCTTCTGGCGGTAATGAATCTGTGAATCAAGAATACGGAAATAACTTTTATGCACAGAAAATAAAGAAACGAGGGACGGTGAGTCGCTCCGACCCGACGCACTCATTTGCAGATATAAAAAAAAATTTACAAACATTTTTGTAAACACCAATAAAGCTATATACACTAACATGTAGATGTACAGTTCCAAACACCCCGCGGGGGCGGCCTGACGCGGCGGGCGGCGGGGAGGTCGTTGCGTTTGGGGGGGGGGGGGGCCGCGCCGGCAGACCACAATCAGACCGGTAGGCCCGAGACGCGCTTTAAGGCCCCGGGGGGGGGGGGGCGGGGGGAACCGGGGGATCCTAGTGGAAACAAATTTGGTTCGCTAGCCTAGCTTCCAGGCGCCATCGGACGGACAGACGGACGGCAGACACGGCACCGGCGCGAGACAGGGGGACGCCCCCGTTACACCACCACACCCAACAAACCCCATTTGTCGGGTATAACAATAAAGGGCTAAACGTATAACAAAATAAAGCAATCCTCCCCCAGCAAATGTATTCCTCATTAATAATTCTCATATTCCCAGCTCAAATCGTTGACATTTGTAAAATGCTAGAAGCTGTCTCTCTTCCTGGAGAAACTCTTGTGAACTTTCGGCTTTCTGCTCGTTTAAAACTGACACATTTAGCACCTGCTTCAAAGCGAAATGAACACTGAATGATTGATAGTTCAACTGTGGAGCTGTGGAGGGGAGAGCCATGACCCAGGTCGGTAGCTTTTCCTTAGCTTCCTTTGAGCCGCAGTAAATTTCCATCTGTCAGCTGTCAGTTTTCGAATGTTGGCAGGAGCTGAACTTGGCATTTTAATTGAGTGCACAGAACTCGTGTAAATGACTGACTGGCTGACTGCAATGGGAATGTGAATGTAAATTGTGCGAGTTAATGGGATTTGTTTGTCATACTCATAACGGGAGGAGTTTCAGAGCGGGTTTCAAGACAGTCTTTCAAGAAAGAAATTTAAAAATCAAGGTAGAAAACTAAGGTTCCATCTAGTCTGAAATATGCATGCACTTCCATTGAAAAATCCCCCGCTTAAAGTGCAATCACAGGTCGTTGTCTGTCCCCTACTTTATTCCTTTTTACGGCTAGCCTTGTTTGGCTTTTATTGAACAAACAGCTGCCGCTTTACTGGATTGTAGTTTGTATTTTTTTACGACTTTACTGCAACGCTGCGTATGCGCAATGCCCCCTGCCACCCAGCCCATTGGGGAGAGACCTTTTAACCCAGTTTTGCAGCAGGCAGTTGTTGGTATTTTCTGTTATCATTAACACCTTTCGCTGGAAGTGTTCATTTGACATGCAAACGGAACGGCAGTGCAGAGAACTCCTCTGGCAGCCCCAGGGGGTAGTAAACCTTGAACGAATCCAACTCGAATCCAATCAAATGGCATCCACATCCACACTGAGAAAAAACTCAATGCACTCATTGCGTATACGCAGTGTTGGGTAGGCAAACAAAGCGATTAAGTGAATGACAGAAGTGAATGGGACAGCAAGAATGGGCAAGGTAGATTAGAAAGAAGGTTGCTATGACATCATATTCTGGTACCGAATAATTATAATAATTTTTGGACTGCCTTACCCTGTCTAGAATATACCTTGGCGCTGTATACTCTTCCCTCAAGTGCTTGTTTGTATTTACATACAAGACTGACAAACAGAATAAAAAGGTAAAACATAAACTGCTTTGATTGCAGGTAAATACAACAGACACAAGCCCTGACACTCGCTCACAGACTGACAGACATACGGACTGCCTGAATGACTGACTGACAGACTGAGGAATGACTGAGGGAGCACTGCTGTCTTCCAACTCTTCATTATTGATTGCTGTCCATTCTATTTATCGTGCCGCTCGTCACTTGCCATCGCTTCTTTATCAACAGACCAGAACTTGCTGATAAGCGCACACTCTCCCTCCCTCCACCAAAGTCATTGATCTTCCAGGGGGGGTGGGAACGGGAACACGGAATGACTTTGGGGATGACTTGTGCCGTGGGCATACGTATACTGCGCATTTGCCTATAAATAGTACAGCCATGGGGCATGGGGGAGAACAGGTAGTTGCATGGTGATTTCATAGAGAGAGCCAATACCCAATATCCGATGAACAGGGCAAACAGAAAAACAATTCGTATGGCAATAATGCTTTCCGTAACGCTTCAATGGGCTCGAGAGAAGGAGGAAGTTACGCACCAATTGCTGTCGATTGAATGGAGAGTGTGCAGGGAGGGATGGAATGCGGGGAGTGAGTGTGAGAAATGTTTCCACAGAACATTTCCCAATAAAAGATAACCCAAGCAGAGAGATCATCTCATGTTTGTATACCCACATATTAATAGAATGGAATGTTTTGCATACCCAATCCCTATAATCTGTCCATAACATAGCCAATTATCACCCATTCGCGGTTCAGGCCATAAATCTGTCACAAATCAAATGAAAAAATCATTTTTATGGCACACACAAAGAAATAGCTCAAATCGCATGCAAAAAATAACACAAAAACCGACAAGCCATCAAACAAAAAAGTCATAAACGCCTCCAGCAATATCAAAGCTTTGATTGAAGCTGCAAAATGGTAAATGGAAAATGGTAATGTAGTGGAAATGGCGCATGTAAATCACAATTAAGAACCATTTCATTGTGCTTTATGGCAGTAACATTTCTTACATCTGTAATGCATTTGTAAAAAAATAGTTATTAATTGATAGCCTGCCGCTGCAGAGACACGACTGGCATTGTAACCGAATTAATTATTCAACAATTGCACAATTGATTGGAAATTCTGGGCAAACAAACTATTTATTTTATGGATTTATGGATCCTTTGTCTTGTGTGTGTGCCCATGAAAAATGTCAGAGAGAGAGAGAGAGCGGCAGGGAGGGTCATTTGACATGTGTAGGGCAAGAAAGTAGGCTAAAAGACATTTACTGTCGTACATTTTCTTGCCCGAAAGACGTTTTGTTCGATTTCAGTTCTTACCTTTTACCATTCTCTCTCCTTCTGCGAATGACTTTGACAAAACGAAGGCCATAGTTATGTATCATTCCACAGGAAACAAAGACTTGACGTCCCAGAATGTGTATGAGATATTTATTTCAATTTGTCAATGCTGGAGGAATGTGTGGTTGAAGAATTTTTGGTTTGACTTGAAACGGAAATGCCACAATGCGCATGGAAATGGAGTGGTTTTTGAGAGCGGTTTATGGGAACTAGGAGTTGATTGAAAACAGCAACTAAAGCTAATACGAACGAATGGTTTCCCATCCATAGTGGATTTATTTATAACCATTTTGCCAGCTTCACTTGAGCCAGTTTACGAATTTACTCGTACCTGATAAATTGAACTCACATTTTGTTGACAGCCTTACAAATTGACTTTGAAAACCGCAAAAAGCACTCACAATTCTTGGAAATATTTTCAATTAACACTTCGAAATATTATTCAGATTTTTAGCAGCGGCACGCGCTATTCTGTGTGCTGTTCAATATTTCAAAAAATATACAGAGATGTACATCATTAATCATCGTTTCGGTTTTCAGCGGGTTTCAAGATCATTTAGCCGGAGATGCGAAATCTATAAGTTCTGGCCTCTCAACATCCAGATTTGGGCGTACAATTTGCATAGACGATTTCTTAGATAATATTTCAGGGCACACATATGGAAACATAATAATACTGAAAATTACCCACACAATTATACGTTATGAATGTTTGATTTGTGTGTGGATCGTACGATTTTCGTTTTTCGATTTTGAGTTTCGTTTGGGTTTGTGTTTGGCTGTGGGAAAAACCACATGAGGTTTTCGTTCGTTAATTTGCCTTTTCCCCCACGATAAACAAGCACGAACTTGTGGTATTGATGTTATGAATGTGATTCTGATTGCCGGTTGTTTGTTTGTTTGTTTGTTTGTTTGTTTATTCGCGAGAGAGAAAAGAGACAGAAAGAGATATGTGTGGGATGGGATGGGATGGATTTTAGCACTGATTTAGCCTTGGGGAAAGGTACTATTAGACTATTGATGAGGTTTAGGAAATGATGTTGTCTGACAAACAATTTGCCATTTTACTGAGTCATCTTCATCGAATGTTTTCGGTTTATTCAAAATTATACGTCTTCTCTTTGGGGGAGAAAATGAAAATTAATGAAATACTTTATACATTTTCCTCTCGTAATTACCCATTTGCCCGCATCTACTATAATTACTCATGGGAGCCCATTTATTACTCCACCAATCCGACTCTATCTCTCTCTCTCTCCCTGTGACTGTTTATCATTTAGTTTTGTTTTCATTGTAATTTGTCTGGCTGTCTACATTTGTTTGCTATATCCCTACAAAGGGTATAATGGACAAGACACACAAGTGGCAGTGGAAGCCCAAAGATGCAGTCTATCCTGGAACAATAAATGGATTCAAAGTACAGATCACATCAGCAGCATTTCAATGTATCATTTGCAATTAGATTGGATATGTGTATCCTGAAAATGTATGCTGAAAATTGATACTAGAGGTAAAATCAGTCTTCCTACTACAAATATTATTTGTACTTTGAAGAGTTCTTCGGGTGCAATTTTGTAATCTGAGGAGTGCAGGGTATCCCCATCTACGAGTATGAAATCTATCTGGTTTCGTTTTCTAGCTTTGCATTGCCTGGCTTCATCCTGCTTTGGCTTGGGCTCTGGCTCTGTCATGGTGTGGTTCTCGTAGTGTTACTCTTTTACAGGGACTGAGACTGCGGAATGGGACTCCCTGGGTAGGTTTTGCTCTCATTTTGCCTTTTTCACGCTTATTATGTGTTGTTTTTTGTTGCTGTCGTTGTTGTTGGTTTTTTCTACATATTTACTATGGGTTTCTGTTCACATACACATACATACATATATACTCGTACCTATGTATATATATACACATTTATCTTTTTTAGTTTAAATGTTGTCAGACAGGATTTTCCACTTTAATGCAGTCGCCGCAACG